GGAATCTTTGATACATATTATATGAAGCTAAGCAAAAAGGTATATATAAATGAGCATCGACCCGCTTGCCTCGGGGTGTTCGCTTGCGACTCGTGAAATTTGAGTTGGTTTGTATTATGTTTTTTGAGTTTTCGATTGTTCAAGTCACCATCTGGTTGATGCTTTAAACAGCCATCATCTGTCAAAGACCTTAATCAACAGTGGATCATCAATTCAAAGCAGGAAACGAAAACATCAAACCATAATTAAACATATCTAAAGCAGATTTGGAACCACATTCACCAGCTATAGCCTTCACCCATGTTTTTTTGTGCCTCTAATTTGTGCTCCACTCAGGTCCAAGTCCTTCAATCTGGGAAGGCCAAATTCCTGGTCTACGGCACAACGACCCGAAGTGGTCGTCAATACAGGTCTCAATGGGAAAATGTAGGGGATATCATGGTTTTAATATGGTTTAATATTTTTTCATATGTTTTAATATGTTTCAATATGCTTCAATATGTTTTAATATGTTTTAATGGAGTTGTTATAGGGTTTGAATGGCAAAACAATCTTTTTCAATGGCGGTGGATTTGTGGATTTTCAGGTTAATGGGAAAACCATCTATAAATAGTGCCTTTTTGATTGCTACGTTTGATTACCGGAGTGCAATAGCTCACAAGGCCGCAACCCCAAAAGGCCGATTTCCAGTATGAAGGTCATCCAAACACGCACATGGAAGATGAAACAAAAGCTGGTATCGACATGCTTGTGATTGGCTAGTAGCGCCAAACTTACAATCTTCATTTTTAGTATCCGGAAAATTCATTGGTTTCTTCAAGCACAACCCCAAATGGCACGTAAACTTGTTGGCCTTCTTTGGTGATCCCGTCTTGGGAAGGGAACGGTGTCCCCTTAAGCACCAGTTCGTAAAAAGCAGTTCCGAACGGGGCGTGTTGGGGCCAAGGTAAGCCGACACATTGGAGAATCACCAGTAGTTGCTAGAAATATAGTAATCCCTTCCCCCCATTACTAAACCCCACCAAATAATAAAAACTAGGGTCTGTCTCCAATTTTGGAAAATTTGAGGTTGGCCAATTTGATTTTTAATTGATCCCCTTTAGAAAACAATTTAAACATGAAGCTACCATTTCAGGGTTTCACCCCCTATTAATAAAAACTAGTCAACCCTGGGGTGTTTTTTCTTAGGGTCCGTCTTGTAAGGCCGAACAAAACAGTCTTTCATATTAAGGTGTTTAATTTAATATTAGGGGAAAGCTTCGAAATTCAATTTTTGGCAATATCTTAATTAGATGTTAAAAGGAAATCTAATCGATTTTGAAATAGAAAAGAATAGTTTTTTATATTAGGGTTTTTAATTTGGTATTAGGGGGAAGCTTCGCACCCTAACAATAAAAACCCCCTAATAGAAAAAAACTACCTGAGGTGTCTATTATTTTGGGGGCTGGGGGGGTTTAGTATTAGGGGGAACCGATTACTGTACGTAGTCGTTTTTTTTCTGGTGATTTTCAAGTAGCAGTTGCCATGTCTGTTTCCTGCAGGTACTTGTTTTATCTGGCTGCTCTGGTTGAAAAACGGGAAAGTCATTGAGGATCTAGGGATTGAAACAAACGAACCCCAGACGACATGCTGTTAATCCTTGTTAGTCAAGCCCTAGTTGATGCATTTGGGGGCCCTGTTCAGATTGTATGTTCCAAATCAAATTTGCTGAACTTATCTTGTTTTTGGAAAAGATCATGTGCCGAGCTCATACATACCATCAACCAAGGCTCAAAGAATCCCCTCACACGCGTCCACGAAAGGTCCAACAGTTCCTGGGATTTGCAGAGACACCCTAGAGGGTGGAAAATCAGTCACATGGCTTGCTGAAAAATCCACCCATTTTTGGATGATTTACGCATTTACATCCTAATTTATCAGGGATTTCCCTGCCTGTCATGTGACTGATTACTGGAGGATATAAAAACCTATTCCCAGTAGATGTCCCATTTCCGATGATGGGACCAATGAGGAAGTACAATTCAAAAAAAAGCTCTTAGGGAGTCACATTTTTTATAGGTCGGAATATTCCCAAAAATTAACCAGCTAGTATAACATAGTATAACCGCACAAAAGGACCATCAACCATGATATAACCATCAACCAACACCGGTTACGGATGAATCTGTGGAATCGTTAGATCGTGTGATTCCCCAACGACCTGGTCGTTTAAAAGGGCAACATTTTCCAGTTGGATATTGGTTCCCCCAATTTGTGATGGCTAAATCCATGTAAATTGCATTATTTTGCAAGTTGAGCCAGCATTTTTTATGCTTAAATCCCTACCCATTCAGTTGGTTCCCACGTTATGAACCAATCGGAATCCAAGTTTCAAGTTGCAGACAACCCTTTAACGCCTCTGCATTACCGGAGGTCCATGTCTGCCGCAAACGAAGACTTCGCAAGGAAGGAAGGCTTTCCTGGGTTGGTCTGATTTTTTTGAGGAGCGTTTAATAGGGGAGTAAACCAACCATTGGAAGATATTGGGAATATAATGGGAATATAGTACATATATGATTATAAATAATATATAATAGGTATGTATATATATATATACAAGTTTATATAATATTAAATGTGTATATATATATATATAATGTGTACATATATTTATATACGGCCAGGACGGGGGTGCTGCCCGGCGAAGTGGATTTTAACTGCGCAGGGCCAGTGTTTTTTGTATGTTGGTGTGTCGGTGAAATGGCAACTTGGCTGACGAGATTTGTTCCAAAACACAAAACCCTAAACCTTAAATCCTAAACCCTAAAACCTAAATCTGACATAAAACCCTAAGTAAGCCTTAAAAGTAAAATATGATTAAAACCATGGTTAAAAAACAAACGAAACCCTGAGGAAACCCTAAACAAACCCTAAAGAGTTGGTCCCATGATAAACCTCTGGGCGGCACCCCCGACCTGCAGGTAAAGAAAGTCCCCGAACTCATCATCAACCAACAAGAGTTTTGAACACTGCAAGCAAATTGGGTACCCCCCCAAAAAAAAACATGGGCAATCATCATTTCCTCAATGAAATGGCAATGTTGGGATATCCCGAATTCCTTATGGATCAAGATTTGGGGGTGAGAATTGAGATAACCATAGCTATGGAGGAAAGCACCCTCCGGTAATTTGTATCATAGCTATGGCAGCTACGGCCCATTCATAGCAGATTTACCGAACTTAAACATGCTGATGTTCTTTAGCTATTTTAAAATACCAGATGGTAGGAGGTTCTCGCCGAGCACATGGGGAAATCTGGGCCAGCCGTGACAGGGATGACATCCTGATGCTTAAATTATCTTAAATCCCCTGCTGAAGACGTTAACGACGTTAGTGCTGTATATTAATACCCATCCAAAAGCAAACGGAATCAGAGTGGCTGAACACGATTTTTAAGCAATCATAGCATGGATCAATGAAACACATTTCAAAAGATCTTCAACGAGATCTTTTCTGGGATATTTTGGGGGAACAAGTACCGGGCTAAGTCATTTTTCAATCCCAGAAATGTCCAGCGTCAAACCCCACAAAGGTGGTGAGAATAAGATAGCTAAGGGTGCTGAACCAGGAGCCAGCTTCAAAAACACATCTCAGATGCGCAACAAAAATCACAACCCATATGGTTAAACCATGTTAAACCCATATGTTGCTGTGTTTTTTTTCTGGTCAAACCATCATTATTGATTCAATAATGATTTTTGGACCCAAAAGATGGTATATACATCATTATTATACATAACCCATAGGATCCATGTATGTTATATATGCTAACATTTGGGGTATATTGATGGTAAATGTTACCATATATACCATACATGGATCCTATGGGTAATTATTATACATCATTATCATGGTATGTAGCATTTATGTATCCTATCATTAGTTCGAAAAGGGGATGCGTTACTTTTTCACTACTGGATGATTCACCCCCAGTGAACCCGGTGAAGTGGCTTTAACAAATCCCAGGAACAAAAAACTGGTCCCAAAATACGACTTTTCCCGTTGAGAACCAGAGTTATACCCTCTGGTAAACAGCCACATAACTATGGAAAATCACAATTTTTAATGGGAAAACTCACTATTTCTATGGCCATTTTCAATAGCTATGTAACAAACTACCAGAGTTTTTTAAGCCATATGTTGGTGGTTGAACATGGTTCAACCAGCATTTGTTGCTGCGAAAACCGACATATGTTTGCTGCTTTTTTTGCCCTTCCGGATTCCGCCCTCCAGTTGGATCCAGTTTCAAAGACCTTCACATCACCAAGTACCGAGCTATGCGCCAAATCCAGCTCTTCCAGCTTTGGAGTGAACCTTCGATCCAGGATCCAACTATATATATATATAAGATGTATGGCATACATATATAGATATATAGTGATATATATATATATTTATATACATATGGTATATAGATGTATACATATATGGGCATACATATGTATATATATATATACGTATATATTATGTGTATACGGTAGCTACATTTACCAAACACGGATGTTTATCTTCTCACCTGGACAAGGGATTCTATCCACGAGGTCTCTGTATGGGCTGTGTCTGACATGTCTGAAAATACGGTAAGAAGCAGAAATCTAGGCAAAAAATCATTGGGAATATGATGGTAAATCTGATAAACCATAGGAGGAGTCTGGACAAACTCATATTCACAAAATGGAAACCACCACAAGTGTTTTTTTAACCCTCTCTGAGCAGCGTTTGCACACAAGTGATTGACCTATTCTCTTGTATATTCAAGAAATATCACCTATGCTTTCAAAGTCTTCTATTTCTTTATGCAAGGTAACGATGCGGGCCAACCCAGTAGAAGCCCGCCGCATGTTTTCATGTTTTTAAGGTCAAACAACTAATGCTGAATTTTTGTATGGCGTGTCAAAATGTGATAAATCCAATAATAAACCATGTTTATACAACCTTTTTCTGGTGAAATGGTGCATGGTTTATGGCATTGGGCTTACCACATTTATAAAAATCCCATGAAATCAATGGAGGAAAAAAAACTGATCGACTGCTCCATAAAGCCATAAACTTCCAATCGGGAATGGTAAACGACGGAACCCATTGTTGGTAAAATTGGGGATTTACTGCTTTACCACATTCTATACATATATATATGTGTGTACATGTATGTATGTATGTATGTATGTATGTATGCATGCATGTATGTAGGTAGGTATGTATGTATGTATGTATACATGTATACATATATACATATATACATATATACATATATACATATATACATATATACATATATACATATATATATATATACATATATACATATACATATATATATATATATATATATATATATATACATATATATATATATACATATATAATACATATATATATATATATATATATACAGATATATATATATATATACGTATATATATATGTGATTGTACACATGAGTGCGCAGTTCTTTACAATTGAACCTGCACCCAGCTAGCCTCGTTTGATTACCGGGGAACTACCAGGAGGATCCCTGAACGTTTTCGTGTACAGCCGCAATCTCCTAGCCTTCATCTAAGCGCCAAAGTCTCGCTGGCTTGTATTCAGTGTTCACTGAACACTCAACATACATATGAATATACATGTGTATACAGTATATATGTGTTTTTTACATGTATAAATATAAGCACTAATATAGTACCTGTATATAATCTTGGGAAGGTATTATAATACAGTACATAAATAATATAGTATTATTACTATAAATACTATAATACTATAAATACTATAATACTATAAATACTAGAAATACTAAAAATATACACTATCACTATATATATACATAATTATTACATACATACAATTGTGTATATACCGAGACTTTGTGACCTGTCCCAGGTTTGGACATCAAGACCATCCGACCATTCCCTCCTGGATCCCACCAAAGGCACTGAAAAACTTCCAGGCGTCCAACGATGTGCGTCATGGAGAGGTTCAAAGCCTGGCTACGGAAAAAAAAAAACGTATTCTTCCGTTATATCCTGTTTATATATCCCAATCATCCCATAAAAAATACTATATATATGTATAATTATGTATATTATATATATAATATGTTCAATTATTTGTTATATTACACCTACCTGCACTTGTTGCTTCACCCCAGGAATCCTTCTTGTGGATTAGTTCAGCCCAGTGAATTAACTGCTGGGATGAACTCATTCAATGCGATTCTGAGGAGACCGTGCAATGGATGGTGGGGATAACGATGTTTAGTCTCCCAAACTTATCTAGTCATGGCCAGTTCAATTAGTCTACGGTAGTTATTCCAATATTACATACTAAATCAATGTAAAATAAGCGAATATATTGTTGGGCATAACTGGATGAAATGAATTATTAGTCTATAAAAACTGGATAATATTAGAAACTATATTCGATATGCCATGATATACCATTGTAGTCATTCGTAGAATATAATGCGATTTTACTATGATCATCATGGTTGCTCCCTTGCCACCCCAGATAGGGGTCACTTGGGTATAGAAAGAAGTAAACTCTCCAGTTTTACGCCCTTGCTGAGTTTGGCTCGTGAGGTTGCGCTTGAAATTCCATGAAATTCCAGTGTCCAATGAAATGCAAACAGAATGAGACCTCAACAAATACCAAAACAGCAAATCTGTTGGGATCTTGAGAAGAGATTTGAATTCACAGCACATTACATCCAGAACCTAAGGGTTCAAGAGGGTTTGTTGTTGCGACACTGCGTTTTTAAAATGACGTCACAGGCCACGGCAAGGTCAAATGACTTTTCCGTGATCTGCATAGTCTAAACCCATCCACTTGTTGGCCTTCAAAACAATGTTGTATATAGGTTGTTCCCAGAAAAGGCTGTCCCTTTTCTTCTCGTTTCCAGAACTTGGCTCACCTTAGATAACACAATTTAGAACAAGTCAAAAAGAACTCCTGTGGCTCCTGCTGTCACCCACTCTTCACTCATCTACTCACCAAGACTTACCCAAACCTCACCATTACACTAAAAGATGACTTGCTCTGCCATTTGCTGGGTCACACCAACCAGCACCAGTCAGGTCCCTACGGCCTCTCACCGAATTGAGAATCTGTGGACTGTGGACCAATTCATCATACTCCTCGAATTCAAAGCAAAAAGAAAAAAAATATATATATATATATATGGACTTCTGTGAAAAGGGCTACTCCCATATTATCATCATTTTCCCATTCATCGTATTATCCCATATTTTCCCATATTTTCCCATATTTTCCCATATTATCATCAGTAATATATGGACTTCATAGTATCATCATTTTCCCACTGCAATGGCATTGTTTTGGAACCTTAAAATCCACCACGCCTTTGGACCCCATCACGGACCTTCAGCTTCGGCATCGCTTCCAAAATCGCCAGGTCTCCGGCAATCCGCGTCTTAGCCTGTTGGCAAAAACCATAAGGGCTTCAACATGGTACAAGGATATAGCCATCAGCACCATCTATGATTTTTAGGATTGTTTTTTATATGAATTACTTAAAAAATACTGTCTGTAATGATATGGTATCAATGGTATCTACAGTGTGGACCTATACAGTACATGTATGCATGTCACGTCTCTATTCATTAGTCTCAAAACCATTCACATGTTGGGTTCCCCCCTCTACATGGCAGAACTTCAGCTGGGTTTCGCGCCCCTGGGCCTCGAATAATTCATACGATTTCAACAGTCCCATCTTTGATAGATGAACCCTGAAACAACAGCTACAATACCCATAGGATCCATGTATGTTATATATGGTAACATTTACCATCAATATACCCCAAATGTTAGCATATATACCATACATGGATCCTATGGGATATGCAAAGACCCGCACATGTTTTTTGAATTCTGTATCGCCCCTCCTGGGCCACCAATCCCCCATCCTGTCCAGGTGCCAAATCCATCCGCTCCAGTGGCCCCAAAGCTTCCAGCAAAGCCTCCCGGTGTTCCAACTGGAAGTCGCTCAGCGCAGAGAAGTTGCCTGTGATGCGTCTCGCACGAAAAACAGAACACCGTGGGCGGTGCTCGTCACGAAGAGACTCGAACAGTAGCGAATCTTGGTACATTCCAGTACATTCCTTCTGGCGAAATTGGAGTACCAGTGGATCCACAAAATCAGTCCTTTTCAGTTTTTTTTTCGAGTTATACCCTAGTCTTCCTGGTAACCTTTCCGGTAACTGAAGTGGTTGCCTGTCCCGTAACTGGAAGGTTAAGGATAATGTTAACCCTGGATTAATAAACCCCGTTTACGGCTGTTTAATTGGGAGGCTACCATTTATGTACCATCTAAAGTGACTACTTGGAGGGTACTCCCTAATTAATAAACCATGGTTTATTGATCCGGTTGACATTGTATCACTTTGAGCCAAGCCCCCCATGTTCAAATCCAACCCCACCCACCCCGGGACCCCGGTCACCATCCATTGTTGGACACCCAGCAGGTCCCATGGATCAAACTTTGGGGCACCTACAATGTCAGACAAACCCGAAAATCATCTGGTTGGTAATATACTTATATAATGTTGTTATAATATATATATATATGATATATATATATATATTCTACTACATCCTATTACCATATCATGGTTAGTTGATTCTCCAATTGAAGTCAATTTAAGGTAAATCCCCCCGAGTTTCCATGATTGACTGGTTAAATTGGCATTGTTCAGACACTTTCATGCTGAAAACATGTTGAATCCCAACTTTGCATGGTCGAACTCCAAATCTTTGAGGATAAGAATGATGACCCTCATTGAAAAGTCACTTAAGTCATCTTAAGTCACGTTGTTCGCGCCTGAAAGGCTGTCATCTCCCGGCAAAGATATGCCGCGCACTTCACAGTCCTCTCATCCGGACCCATCATCCCCACCAGTCATCTTCAATGCATCCACAAATCATCGATTTGGGACTGCCCAGTTTTGGGAAAGTTAGACATTTTTTGTTAAAAGCAATATGTCCTCTGGTAATCAAACGTGACTAGCTGGAAAATCCCTTATAAAATGAGGTTTTATATCGGAAAATCCATTGCCACATTTGATCACAGGAGGGTGGACAAAGATATTCTTGCCCCCACAGCGTCAAAGACCTCGACCTCCATCACCCTTGGACACTCTCAATATCTTTTCCTGAAGCTTCGTAGTTTCATCGAGTTTCAACGGAATCCCATACACCGATCATTTATTAGTATATTAGTATAAATTTTAAATATACCCAACTTCCGGGACTCAGGAATTAAGGCTTCGTTTGTTGTACAAAAATTGGGGGAAGGAATTGGTAGAACCCTGAAAACTATAGAACTCCAGAACTCTCAGAAGTATGGCTCTGATAGACGCAAGTTTTCACTTGATTGCTCGCGGCAAGATACCAGTGCCGAAAAGCCTTCAGTCATCCCTTTGTGCCAGTCGGGTGGAAGACTTCGCATATTGGATCGGAATCAAATGTACTGAAGTCATTAATTAACCAGCTTTACAAACATCTACTGCGCATTATGACAAAATTGCTTCATTCAATGCTCTCCATATCCATTCAGGTCCATTCGTCCTTGTTCCACTCGATGCCCTGAAACAGGTCGCAGCTTGTCTTTGTGCAATCGCCTCCTGAAAGCGAGCTGCTGAGCTGGTGAATCTTCCCGCTACCCGTAATCAAACGTGGCTGGGAAATCCCTGTAAAAGAGCATTTCAATGGGAAAAGCATCTTAAAAAATATCTATAAAACTTCGGATTGTCCATCATGATTACCAGAGAGTACATCCCGTGAATCCTGTTACCCTCTGGTAGACAGCCACATAGCTATTGATAATGGCCATAGAAATAGTGAGTTTTCCCATTAAGAATGGTGGATCTTTCCATAGTCTACAATCACAAAAAAATCCAGAAGAGGCTTGCTCTACCCACAAAGGCCATGTAAATTCCGCTGAGCTTCGCTGAAAGCCCAGGAACCACAGAAGAGTTGCCACCCGGTTGGCAAGCACCGTGGCCGGCACATTGGCACAAGGATCAGAGCCATCCTGAGAAGGTCCAACTGTTGGTGACGTCAAGAAGTATTTCTGTGTCTGAAAATGAGGAGGAACGCCAAAAAAACATGGGTTTCAATCATTTTCAATAGTCAATTTTTCGATGATTTGGGAGTAGCCCATGAATTGGGAGAGCTCAATATTGGGTGTGTCTGAAAATGAGGAACACCCCAAACTGGCGATTAATAATAGGGAACATGATGCTTCACCAATACCAGTGCATTCAGGGGGACCCCATTTTGAAGAAAAACATATCACATATCGCTTCAGTAACACGTGGAAGTTTCCTGAAATAGGGCTACCCCTAAATCATACAATTTGATAGGATGTTCCATGAAATAAACCATCCAGCTATTGGGGTATCCCCATTTATGGAAACCCCCAAGAGTAGTGGATCTGCAACTTAGGTCCCCCAAACATACGGCAACCTATTCAAACAGCATTGTTCACCCAAAAAAATCTGAGACTGATCGATCCAAAGCTGCTGCAAATTGGCCAAAGTAACTCCAGAATCAGCAATTCATTCACATATTGGTGCATCTGATAATGCAGTATCTGGTGGTTTCTGCAAGTTGATTGACTCAATTGTTTAACCGAAAACTTCGAAGCTGTTCTTGATAAAAGAAAATACTATCATCTGGTAGGCAAGATGGACATAACCATAGGTCGGAACCCCTCCCTCGATTCACCACCGGAAAGAAACATTACTACTATACTACCCTCTGGTAATTTTACTAATATTACATAGCTATAGAAAATCACCACTTTGAATAGGTAAATCATCTATAAACGGGCCATCTACATCATAGCTATGCTACATAAAGTCAAGATGTGACATCCACGACGACCGAGCTGCCATGTCAACCAGCTGATGGGCCAGGATGGCATGATCCAAATTCACCAGCGGTTTCAAGTTCTTGGGCTTCAGGCTCTTCACTCCCACGTCACGCAGCTGTACATGGAAGCGACCTCTTCCCGGTTGACGACCATGGACCATCAAGGACCCAGAAAGAGCATGGATGACTTTGAGTGGTACAGCGGCAAAGCATGCCCCAAAGAATAGCAGTTCTAAGTGGTGTGGGATAGGGCCTTGCAGTGATAACATGTGATAGCTTAATTTAGGACAAGGTCTGTGTCGGCCGCGGTGAGTCGGCCGGCGGGGTGGGCGTGTCGGCCGCGGCTGGGTGTGCGAGTCGGCCGGCGCCAAGTGCCGTGTCGGCCGGCGCCAAGTGCCGTGGCGGCCGGCGCCAGGTATACCGTGTCGGCCGCGGAGGGGCTGTGTCGGACGGCGGCACTTGAGTCGGCCGCGGGGCTTCTGTGTCGGACCACGGGGCGGCTCGCGCAGGGCTGCCACTTAAAGACGGAACAAGCTCCCAGCGCTAACTTAGCAAAGTAAGGTCTGTGTGTCGAAACTGGCATGTCTGTGTCGGCCGCGGGGCTTCTGTGTCGGCCGCGGAGGGGCTGTGTCGGACGGCGGCGCTTGAGTCGGCCGCGGAGGGCTTCCACAGGGTAGGAAAAAAGAGCCCAGCGCTAACTTAGCAAACTAAGGTCTGTGTGTCGAAACTGGCGTGTCTGTGTCGGCCGCGGGGCTTCTGTGTTGGCCGCGGAGGGGCTGTGTCGGACGGCGGCGCTTGAGTCGGCCGCCGGGCTCCTGTGTCGGACAGCGGCGCTTGAGTGGGCCGCGGGGCTCCTGTGTCGGACGGCGGGCTGCAGGGCTTCCGCAGGGTATAGGAAAAAAGACCCCAGCGCTAACTTAGCAAAACTAAGGTCTGTGTGTCGAAACTGGCATGTCTGTGTCGGCCGCGGGCCTTCTGTGTCGGCCGCGGAGGGGCTGTGTCGGACGGCGGCGCCTGAGTCGGCCCCGGGGCTTCTGTGTCGGACGGCGGGGCGGCGCGTGCAGGGCTTCCACAAAGAAAGAAAAAAAAGATCCCAGCGCTAACTTAGCAAACTAAGGTCTGTGTGTCGAAACTGGCATGTCCGTGTCGGCTGCGGGGCTTCTGTGTCGGCCGCCAAGGGGCTGTGTCGGACAGCGGCGCCTGAGTCCCAACTATCTTGCAACGTCACAACATCTTCTAAATGTGCAACCTCACAACATCTTCTAAATGTGCCATCTTTGACAAGTTACAAGAGAAAATTCGGAGCACAGCGTCAAGACCGGCTCAAAAAGTGACTGGAAAAAGTTCAGAGCAGAGCATCAAGAGCGTGTCACATGCTGCATGTGCCTACGTGTGTCGGACAAAAGTTTCCCCCCACCTCCGCCCCCCCCCACCCCCCCTCTCCCCACCCCCCCACCCCAAAAAATAATCAGACGGTCATTCGTCGACATTGTTGTGAACGTTCATCATCTTTCAACTGCCAAGCATCTTGCAACGTGCCAACTTCCTTGCAACGTCACAACATCTTCTAAATGCGCCATCTGTGACAAGTTACAAGAGAAAATTCGGAGCATAGCGTCAAGACCGCTTCAACAAATGACTGGACCTGCATGTGCCTGTGTCGGACAAAAGTTTCCCACCCCCTCCCCCACCCCACCTTCCCCCCACCCCAAAAATAATCACACGGTCAATCGTCGACAATGTTGTGAAACGTTTCAAGCATCTTGCAACGTGCCAAGCATCTTGCAACGTGCCAACTATCTTGCAACGTCACAACATCTTCTAAATGTGCCATCTTTGACAAGTTACAAGAGAAAATTCGGAGCATAGCGTCAAGACCGGCTCAAAAAGTGACTGGAAAAAGTTCAGAGCAGAGCATCAAGAGCGTGTCACAAGCTGCATGTGCCTACGTGTGTCGGACAAAAGTTTCCCCCCTTCCCCCCCACCCCCCACCCCAAAAATAATCACACGGTCATTCGTCGACAATGTTGTGAAACGTTTCAAGCATCTTGCAACGTGCCAAGCATCTTGCAACGTGCCAACTTTCTTGCAACCTCACAACATCTTCTAAATGTGCCATCTTTGACCAGTTACAAGAGAAAATTCGGAGCATGAGCAGAGCATCAAGAGCGTGTCACAAGCTGCATGTGCCTGTGTCGGACAAAAGTTCCCCCCCCCCCCCCCCCCCCCCCCCCCCCCCCCCCCCCCCCCCCCCGACAATGTTGTGAAACGTTTCAAGCATCTTGCATTCAACGTGCCAAGCATCTTGCAACGTGCCAACTATCTTGCAACGTCACAACAGCTTCTAAATGTGCGATCTTTGACAAGTTACAAGAGAAAATTCGGAGCATAGCGTCAAGACCGGCCCAAAAAGTGACTGGAAAAAGTTCAGAGCAGAGCATCAAGAGCGTGTCACAAGCTGCATGTGCCTGTGTCGGACAAAAGTTTCCCCCCACCTCCCCCCCACCCCCCTCCCCCCCACCCCAAAAACAAAAATAACACACGGTCAATCGTCGACAATGTTGTGAAACGTTTCAAGCATCTTGCAACGTGCCAAGCATCTTGCAACGTGCCAACTTCCTTGCAACCCACAACATCTTCGAAATGTGCCATCTTTGACAAGTTACAAGAGAAAATTCGGAGCATAGCATCAAGACCGGCTCAAAAAGTGACTGGAAAAAGTTCAGAGCAGAGCATCAAGAGCGTGTCACAAGCTGCATGTGCCTACGTGTGTCGGACAAAAGTTTTCCCCCCCACCTTCCCCTCCACCTTCCCCCCCACCCCCCACCCCAAAAATAATCACACGGTCATTCGTCGACAATGTTGTGAAACGTTTCAAGCATTTTGCAACGTGCCAAGCATCTTGCAACGTGCCAACTATCTTGCAACGTCACAACATCTTCTAAATGTGCCATCTTTGACGAGTTACAAGAGAAAATTCGGAGCATAGCGTCAAGACCGGCTCAAAAAGTGACTGGAAAAAGTTCAGAGCAGAGCATCAAGAGCGTGTCACAAGCTGCATGTGCTGTGTCGGACAAAAGTTTCCCGCCCCCCCCCCACCCTCCCCCCACCCACCTTCCCCCCCACCCCCCTCCCCAAAAATAATCACACGGTCAATTGTCGACAATGTTGTGAAACGTTTCAATCATCTTTCAACGTGCCAAGCATCTTGCAACGTGCCAGCTATCTTGCAACGTCACAACATCTTCTAAATGCGCCATCTGTGACAAGTTACAAGAGAAAATTCGGAGCATAGCGTCAAGACCGGCTCAAAAAGTGACTGGAAAAAGTTCAGAGCAGAGCATCAAGAGCGTGTCACAAGCTGCATGTGCCTACGTGTGTCGGACAAAAGTTTCCCCCCACCTCCCCCACCCCAAAAATAATCACACGGTCATTCGTCGACAATGTTGTGAAACGTTTCAAGCATCTTGCAACGTGCCAAGCAGCAACGTGCCAACTATCTTGCAACCTTACAACATCTTCTAAATGTGCCATCTTTGACAAGTTACAAGAGAAAATTCGGAGCATAGCGTCAAGACCGGCTCAAAAAGTGACTGGAAAAAGTTCAGAGCAGAGCATCAAGAGCGTGTCACAAGCTGCATGTGCCTGTGTCGGACAAAAGAATATACTTCCTGCGACCTGGTTGTCTGACTCGCGACCTGGTTGTCTGACCCGCGACCTGGTTGTCTGACTCGCGACCTGGTTGTCTGACCCGCGACCGGGTTGACTGACCCGCGACCTGGTTGGCTGACTCGCGACCTGGTTGGCTGACTCGCGACCTGGTTGGCTGACTCGCGACCTGGTTGGCTGACTCGCGACCTGGTTGGCTGACGCGCCTTCCTGTTGGCTGACTCGCGACCTGGTTGGCTGACGCGCCTTCCTGTTGGCTGACTCGTGACTCGCGCCTTCCTGGTTGGCTGACTCGCGCCTTCCTGGTTGGCTGACTCGCGCCTTCCTGGTTGGCTGACTCGCGCCTTCCTGTTGGCTGACTCGCGCCTTCCTGTTGGCTGACTCGCGCCTTCCTGTTGGCTGACTCGCGCCTTCCTGTTGGCTGACTCAGGTTGGCTGACTCGCAGCCCTGTTGGCTGACACGGTCTTCGCCCCTTAATTTATAAACCCATAGCATGTCAACCATAGATTAATAGTTTTTGCAGATATACACCAACTTACATTTCCAGGAGGGCCCGGCCCTTCTTGTACAGTATATGACTAAATACAACTAGCCCCTTTCACATGTCTGTTGTCACTCAGAAGAAAACCCTGGAGGTCAAGGTCACTGTTTGGCACACTGAGTCAGAGTCAGCAAGGCCATTTATGTCTGCATCAATCTAGATCGGTGCACTCTCCGGTCATCAAACGTAGCTGGGAAATCCTTTATAAATTGAGGTTTGAACGAAAGTTCATCATACACAGTAAATAGGACACTAATTCTTGCCATGCAACCCATTGATTTCGCCATTTTTGATTACCCCAGGGTAATAAAAACAGGTATTTACCATTGATTTCCATTAATTTCCATTGATTTACCATTGATTTACCATTGATTTACCATTACCCCCATGGATTATTTACCCCATTTTATACCATGTAAACTGCGGCCTCTGTTGGCGTCCCACCTCGGAGCTGTTCGACTTCAAGGGAAAAACCAAGAGGTGTTATTGAATTGGGAGTTTAATGGGATTTAATTGGGATTTTATGGTGATTTTATGGGATTTAATTGGGATTTTATGGGGATTTTATGGGATTCAATTGGGAGTTAATTGGGATTTTATGGGATTTAATTGAGATTTTATGCAATTTAGTTGGGAGTTTATGGGATTTAATTGGTATTTTATGGGATTTAACTGGGATTTTATGGGATTTAATTGGGATTTTATGGGATTTAATTGTGAGTTTAATGGGATTTAATTGGGATTTTATGGGGAGTTAATTGGAATTTTATGGGATTTAGTTGGGAGTTTCTGGGAGTTTATGGGATTTTATGGTAGTTTATTGGATTTTATGGGATTTAATTGGGATTTTATGGCATTTAATTGGGAGTTTATGGGAGTTAATTGTGAGTTTATGTGATTTAATTGAGATTTTTGGGTGTTTATGGTATTTTATGGTATTTTATGGATTTAATTGGGATTCTATGGGAGTTTGAGTTTATGGAATTTTATTGGGAGCTTATGGCTTTTTATTGGAGTTTATGGAATGTTATGATTATTCACTGTTAATCACAGGAAAATCTTTAATGTATTCACGGTTATTCATAGGAATTTCATCAACAAGAAATGCAGATCGTAGTGGATACACCGATATACCCTCTAGTACTTTCTTAGAAATAGCTATGGTAAAGATGGCCCATTTAGTTCGATTTGGTACCATGTATATAATAGCCATGGTTTACTTTCTTAGAAATCGCTATGGTATATACTGATATACTTCTGATTTCTATCGCTCTGTTGAATTACCAGAGGGTATTAAAAATTGCTTTCAAGGCATCCCACACATCTCATACCGCCACTGGAAACCGAATCAGCGGATCATCCTTATCTTAAAATAGCTCTATGAACACGTTTGTGAAACTACCACCTAATTCCCTGAATGGTAAGTTGAAAAACAAAACAAAATCACCTGAGCATTGCGCAAATCCTCCCATCAGCTCCTTCTACTGTTTGGTTGAGTAGTCCGTTCTACCCTTCAAAATCGGTGCGTACAACCACTCCAATTCCCGCAAGGCAAAATCGGATTTACATAAACTTCGTCCCAAACAACAAACAATATCTTATGTTAAAAGTATCCCTTTGTTTAAACCCGCCCCATTCAGGTGCGTCTAAAAATGGGCTACACCGCAAGTTATGGTCATTGCTATTGTGAAAATGGTGACTAATCTAAATTAACCAATGGTTTTAGGCCCTAAAAAAAAACGGTCCGTTCATTGGTTATTTGCTTCAGATTCCCCAAAGGTGGAAGTTCCCTTTGGCCATCTGAGAAATCACAAATGACCACAACCTAAGTTATGGGTACCCTCTGGTAAACTAACAGTTTGCTATGGAAAATTGCCATTTATAGTGAGTTTTCCCATCAAAAATGGTGATTTTCCATAGCTATGTTAAATTACCAGAGGGTACCCTCTTGAGCCTCCATTTGAGCTGTGTTCAAAACCCCCTTCACATCATTCCATCACAGCATACAGATGGGTTGAGAACAGGTTTCCCAGGGATTATGCCAATCCCCAATATTTATATATATATGGTGGTTTCTTAAAATGGGGGATCCCCAAGTTTCCATGGGATACCATGGGTTTCAACACTAAAATCGTCCAATTTAGGATGATTTGGGGGCACTCCCATTCTAGGAAACCTCCATGTACATATATCCTTGTATTTCTGATGATTAAACTCATATACTGTAGATGATGGTAGGCGTTAAATGCCATAGAAAAAACATCAATAAATGATTATATATATAATATATATATATATAGCATCCACCAACAGGGGTTTATCAGCCACTGCTCATTTAAAACCAAAAGAATCACCTGACCGAGGTACTGCAGTGTCCTTCCCTGCTGGCCGTTGAGCATCTGCCCAGCCACGGACGTCAAGCCCTCCACCTTGACGATCTGTGACGGCGACGCTGCGACAGTGTCAGCCTCCAGATGTTGCCTTAGAATCTTTGAAACTGAGGGATACAGTACCTGGTTGGTGGTTTCAACCCCTCTGACAAATATTAGTCAGTTGGGATTATTATTCCCATATATTATGGAAAATAAAAAATGTTCCAAACCACCAACCAGCTACAATGGGATAACTGGGATATAACAAACACAAGAGGGAATCCAACATAATATTCAACATAATTCTACCAACTATAATAGGGATACAATGGAATATCACCACCAATAGCTATGTTGGTTGTGACTATATTGTGTAACAATGAGGGATATAAAACAACTATGATGCTAGGGATATCAATAGTTTTTCTCGGAAATATGATATAAACAACTAAAAAACACGTTGGTATTTGGGCGGGTCTTACGTTTACCAGCATGATTCACCACTTACTTTCAAGAGGATGATCCCCCACTGTAGAGTGAGTACTTTCCTCTTTTGAGATGAGCGGCTGTTAGCTGAAGGAAAATGGATGAAAATGCTACTGTAAGACCCACAAACAACTTGAAACTGCCAGACCATCATCTGCACCACGGCTGGAACAAACATAGCAAACCGCCAAGCAGCCAAGCATACAGCCGATCTACCCAAGTCACTATGAGAAAGTGAGCATGACTAATGAAACTTGAGCATGACTATGCAAGTGGCTGGGCAGGCTGGGCATGATATTCTCCAATTTCTAGCAAACTCGGCCCACGGTTCAGCCGCCCATGAAAAAATATGAGCATCATTGACTTAGCTGCTGTCTTTTTCTTCGCAATTCCCCTGCGCAGGATTTTCCATTTGTGTCCATGGACTGTGAATCTTATTGCCATAGGGGTAAAGTCGCTTTGAACCTCACTGCCATTGGGGAAAAGATTTTGAAGTGTGCTTTGCATGCCTTCAAAATTTCGCATGAAGGAAGGAGGCCACTCATGGCTGTTTGTGCAAGGTTTGCACGAGCTCTGTCATCCACATCCATTGTGGATGCGACTGTGGATCATGTGAAGAAAGTGATGGCCATCCTTCACAACTGTTTGCAGTGCAGCCAAGGCTTGAGATTGAGCCACGATGGCGTGGCTTCGTGCTAAGGAACAGAGTTTGGAGGCAGTTTTGAAGTGAACGTGGTCCCACCCCACCCCTCCACAAGTACGTGTGCAAGTTGAAGTGAAGGTGATTGGCCCACCCGACCTCACCCCATGCTTGGCATAACATCAAGTGCGTGTGCAAGTTGAAGTGAACGCAATTACCCCACCCACCCTCCCTCCCCCATCCCAACCCATGTGCAAGAACACAAACTTTTTTGCTGGGTAGACATGCGGAAAAACAAAAAATGGACGAAACCCACGGCCGTCTATAAGCCGTGGTCCGTACTACCCATCTAATCCAACTGAGTTTCACTGAGAATCTACCCAAGTCCCCATGAAAAGTGCCCCTAGTTCAGCTCAAAGAACTCTTTTTGTAGGTCCACCAGTCCATAATGTGTTCGTTCAGCAGAGCAAAGCTCACCAGCCAGGGACGCTAGGGCTGCTAGGGCTGCCAGGAACCATGGCTTCATGCTATCCTCATTGCGGATGTATCGACCTCGCAAACTACGAAGGCATTTGGAAAGATTTCAAACGCCTTGAGCCCACGGCAAGGTGCATCAGGGCATATCAGGGCCCCCAACCTCTGTGAAATGCTATGTCCCATAGGGGTTCCATTTAAAAGTTGCAGGGTGTTGATCATGAAGTACAACTACCCCTCCGTTCAACCTTTGCAATTGAAGCCCCATCGTTTGTGCCAACTTCATGAGTTTTGAATCAAAGATACCCTCTGGTAAACAGCCACATAGCTATGGAAAATCACCATTTTCAATGGGAAAAAACACTATAAATGGGAATTTTCAATAGCTATTTTGACATAACCAGAGGGTAAATAGGTATATGGACCTTATGGATCAAACACGTTCATCGATGTTGGGGGTTTGAGCCATACCCACCGCAGGGAATTTTGCCAGCAAAATCTTCAAGGACGTAGACATCGCTCAATGCATGGATATGGGACATCCGGTCAAGTCAACTGGTAAATCATGCCCTTTTGGAAGAATCTGGTGGTCGATTTGCTACTATTTATAGCATATATCATCATATATCCATTTACCATAATTTACTAAATCTGATACACTTAAATATACCGCTTGTTGAATGAATGATGTTCACCTGTCTATCAATCAATCAACCAGTGCAAAAAGGACATTAATGTAGCATACCCTTGAACGCCTTTTGAATCCTTTCTACCACCCCGGCTTCCATCCAGTTCGGACCCCCCAAACAAATTGCTGATTGCAGAGACCATCTTGAAGAGCAACGCCGATTTTTTGAAAATCTTGGCCTTCAAAATTTGATTTCAAGTCTATCCAGAGATTTTACCATCTGCTTATGACATTGCCAGTTTGCTTGATTTCAAATCCCCATTTTTTAGTTCGGTAAACCATCTATTTCGATTAGGGCCATCTATACCATGGCTATGTTAAATATCCAGAGATTTTAGATGCTTCGAATTTCACAGATCCACTTCTTCACCCCAGCTACACTCGTGCCTGGAATCCAAAAAAAACCGACCCACGACCCACGACCAGCCGAGCCAAACATGGTGCGATCTGTAGGGAAATCCTCTAAACATTGGCATCTGTGGGGTAGAAAGCATCTATAAATGGTGGATTTTCCAGCATCTTTCAGTACGGGAGGGTATTTGAGCAGCAATTCGATCATCCCAAATAGGGTTTTTCAACCTTGAAACCAACAGCCTGTTATAGATTTATATACATGGTTTATCTACCAATGTCTACCATGAAATACCATGAATCTCATGTTGGAATATGTTGCTGGAAGGGCTTATTTCATCGCTTAAAAATATGTGTGACACAACCATTTTGGGCCAAAACACCACCATTTTGGGCAAGACTCCAAGGAGCACTTCGACACAATGCATGACATCATTGGCCAGTTTCAACTCCGAAAATCCAGAGCTGCCACATCTTGTCTGCATAGCCTACAGAAAATACCCTCTGGTAATTTGCTACATAGCTATTGAAAATGGCCATTGAAATAGTGAGTTTTCCCATTAAAAATGGTGATTTTCCATAGTTATGTTAGTTTACCAGAGGGTACCAAACTCATAGCCTACAGGACATGTTTCATGCGAGCTTTGAAAACAAGAGATTATATATCGATTCCCTGAACATGGATTTTTGAGTTGCAAAGGATTTCCCAAAAAGCATCAAAACAGTTGGTATTTACCTGGATTTCCAGAAAAAACTTCTCTGAAGAATGTAAATGGCAATCGCAGGGCATATGCCCTATTTTTGGACAAATACATAATGACTTTGATATACTTTGATATTTGCACACCGAAAAAAGAAAAAACAACTATGGCATGGTAAAAGATCCCGCTAAATTATTGCTAAATTCAAATTAATCAACAGGGCTGTAGTAAATCACCGCCAATTGGCTTTGTCTGAGAATGGGGTAACCTTGGAAAAATCCATAGATCATCATTATGTTCAGATAACAGATAGTTTATCATCATAGTTTATCATTATTGACTATATGATGGAACATTTTTTGGGGCATACCCCATTTTCAGATTGCCGCTTCCTCGTCTCCGCCTGAGCCTTCTCCACCAGGACCGCGCGAAACTCACTGGGCGCGTCCGCCTTGGCGGTAAGCCTCGGAAGCGGAAGGGCGGAAGCGGTGGAAGGAAATGGGTATGATTAGCAGCTCAAGTATATATCTGTACCATTTGTCTATATAACATCATGTATAACATGATAAAACATCATATTATAACATCATACAATGTCATAGAACATAATAAAATAATGTATATACGTATATATATTCTATACTGTATTATATATACATATATTCATTGGATAAGTTAATCATCTTGCATAACCCAGTTATTCATGTATACACACTAATATTGCATAATATGGAATACAATGGAATGCCCCCAGTTGCCAATGGCTTATAACATAATAAGAATATTGAAAGCATTCAGGTAAACAGATTACAGTATGTCATAGAAAAAACATGGACAAATCGGATGATCATGATGAAATATATTTATATACACAAGGTGGCCACCCAGTGATGCTTTTTGGTTTAATAAACCAAGTATCTATAGTTATATGATATATAACATATGTTCATATGTACCACAAACATCCACAAATCATAGTTAACCTAGTTATGTTCACCAACTTAGTTACCGTAAACGGTGGCCCCACAGTTTCGCCAACAATTGGGAATGGATGCGACAAACACAGCTAAACACAGTGGGTAAAATACAGGATGATGACTCTTTCTTGCCCACAAAAGGGAGGCCCATCCTGGATATGGAAGTTGGCTACAATAAGTAGGACCTAGGATTTGTGGTGCAAGATTATCTCCAGAGTTAGATTAGTTTATGAGCCAAAAGAGTTTACAACTGGGGGGGCCCTTCCTGCAGGGCCCTGGCTGAGAATCTCAAATAAATGAGCCAATCCAATTCATCACACTGCGTGGGTCCAAGAAACTTCAAGGAATTTTGATGAAGGCACCGGTGTCAAAGAGACCCAGGAGGCATTCGTCCAGACATTCGTCCAGGCATTCGTCCAGCAGCGCACGTGGATCTGATTTCAAGGTAAGTCCCGTACAGCCGTGGATGCTAACCATCCCAAACCAGCTGTATCATTATCCCCCAAGTATATACGTATATTTATATATATATATATACCATCTGGTTATTTAACATAGCCATGGAAAATCACCATGCTATTAATAGGTAAACCCAGGTAAACCATCTATTTCAATGGGCCATTTTCCATGGCTATGTTAGTCATAACCAGAGGGTATATATATAATGGATTGTAATTCTAGTTGTAATTATCCTTCACCGGATATCAACCGTAACCATCCCAAGCCAGTCACCAGAATCATCACGTGGCACAGCTTCACTTTCCACGGCTACCCAGTCCTGGGCCTCCCCGCAAGGTGCTACACATGTGCAGCAAAGCACCTGACTCTGTGGATGGAGGATGACAAAAAAAGCTGGCACTCATGGTTTCAATGATGGGGATGTTCGTGGGATATTGTATATATATAATGTGTATATATATAATATGTATATATATATATGATTATCATGGGGATATGTATGTTTACCAGAGGCTAATCCACTACACCAGAGGTGACATTACTGGGGATCATTTTTATCTCCGAAACCAAAAAAAAACGGGGAATGTCACGGCTTTCCAATGGGGAGTCCGAGACGACTGGTGGCGAAACGCCCCATGGATTTACCCGGCCTGGTAAACTGTTACATAACTATGGAAAGATCCACAATTTTTCATGGGAAAATCCACTATTTCTATGGCCATTTTCAATAGCTACGTTAAATTACCAGAGGGTATCAGAAATGGCTTGTATTTTAGCTGTGTCATTCGCGGCTTGCCAAATCAAATGACTTAGATACCTGCCCAACATCTAGAGTTTTTCGGAATGGTGAGTACAAATTTTACCATAATTTTATAGCAACATGAATTAAAGATTATGAAAGTACTATTTAGTATCTAACCAAGGCTGACCCTTTGTGTTCCCCCTTTTTTGTGGCCGGGCGCCTAAGGGAAGCTCACCGGCACGGCGAGAGAAGTTGTCAGCCAGCCGTTCCAGCAAAAGGCTGTCCTGCCGTCGTTTTTGTTTGTTGTTTTTGCTCCAGAAAATTGGGGATTACAATGGATGAAAAACATGTAATTGATTAGTCAATGTTGAATAAGAATCAATGTACAGATGCATGAAAACTTTGATGATAAGAGTGTTTGTTTACCCAAGTGACACTTCAGAAGTTGGACGAAAAACCCGTCATGTAAAAAGGAGATACAATCGACACAAGGGGACTGAAAAACAATTTGTTGCTTTGTCATGCTTCGTCTGAAAATGGGGGACGACCCAAAATAGTTTTGATGAGGAAAGTAATGATTCACCCGTGGGGGGGCCTAACCACTTGGGGCCATAAGCAGTTCCACGTCAGCTTCAAGGTATGATGTACCCTCTGGTAGTCGTTTACATAGCTATGGAAACGAACCTTTTGTAGTTGGTTTTTCTTTACTTTCACTGGCCGTTTTCGCAACTGTGTCAGGTTACCAGAGGGAATGCTTCCACCAACGACAAAGAGGCGAAGAAACCATGTTGAAAGCGCTGGTCAAAGTTCCACCCTCTCCCGACCCAGAAACTGGCGCACAAGCACTGGTACTGCATCATCGCCAATGTCTTACTTGTGCTTAGTAGGGAATTTTCGGGAATGATCCACAAGAACTATCAATGATAATCCCAGCAACCCCCAGCAACCCATCCATTCCCTACGTAAAACGCACCAGTAAGATGTTGGATAATGTCAACCCCGGATTAATAAACCATGGTTTATTAATTAGGGGGGTACTCCTCCAATAGTCATAATCCAATACTTAAATGGTACCCCCCCAATTAACCAGCCTAGGGGTTTATTAATCCAGGGTTGACATTATCCAGCAAACAAGTTCATTTTTAGGAGGACATTTAATTCTCCAAAGAACTCACATCCAATTTATGGCCAAGTATCCCCAGAATGGATCATTGACCAATGGTGGTGGAAAATCAACATGCTCAAACAGTCACCTACGAATACCCCGCAACTACTGGAGCCCAAAAATAAATCTAAATCAAATACTAAACCAGGATTTGTACGGTGGTATTTCATGTTAGTATTCACTCACTAAGCTTCCATTATGTATTCCAAGATTAACAATGTTTTTGGTGGCTAATGACGGAAACCTTCTGGTAATTTAAGACAGCTGTGGAAAATCAACATGTATAATATCGGAAAAAGAAAAACTATGAATGGGCCATGTTCCATAGGTATCGTAATTTGCCAAAGGGTACATAGCCATACATAGGCTACATCATGGCCTACATCGATTGATTCTATTCAATTCGTTTCCCCTAATTATTTATTTAAATACTTTCCCATGAATAAAAATCAAATCAACATCAAATCTCATTACCCTCTGGTAATTTGTTACATAGCTATTGAAAATGGTGATTTAGTTCGTGGAATTACCCATGAAAAAAAGGCCATTTTCAATAGCGTTTTGTATGTTTACCAGAGGGTAAATCCCATCAACGTCCCATGACATCCTCATGTTTGATGGTCACTCCCTTAGCCATTCACCCCCCAGGCTCCGGCAGACCACTTTGGTTCAGGACCACAAGGGCTCGCGCAAAGTGGGCCAGCTCCAAATGCCTCGTGAAGCAGCCAGCTATAAACGGAGTGGAAAACCATCAGAAATACATAGAAATGCAAGGAATATTACCCTCTGGTAATTTAACATAGCTATGGAAAATCACCATTTTTAGTGGGAAAACTCACTATAAATGGCCATTTTCAACAGCTATGTTAAATTACCAGAGAGTATGTTTTTGGAGGTTTCCTAGAATGGGGAAACCCCCCAAATCATCCACTCAGACCATTTTAGTCTCAAGTTCTCATGGTGACTTGGGGATCCCCCATTTTAAGAAACCCCCAAATAGGATTCATTTCAGGAAATGGGGACTCGTTAACCATTTCACCGGGGTCTGTCAAGTTATTTTTTGGGGTGAAAGAAAAGAAGACCATCATGGTGATAAATTGTTTAACATATATGGGGGTTCGCGTAAAATTTGGTTCTCAGAATATGTACTGACTGTTTACACATCTTTTTGCCCAACAGATCAACAAAACTCAGAATTAAGTGGCTAAACACCATCCAGCAAAAAGATGCGAAAAGTACGAGTAGATACAAGGGTGACCCCTGAAATGTGCAAATGGGTATGGGCCAACACGCAAGGCCTTGGAAATCTGAAAGTAATCCACCGCATTCTCGGTTTTGGCAATCCACAGGGCATCCCAACAGTACTTATAGTAGTAGTCAGCTGTTTACTAACTTCATGGACTATCCAAGTACGCATCGAAAATGTTCGAAGCCCTCAATATTCAGAATCCCGTCCACCGTTCAGCCCTTAAACACCAGAAACCGTGGATGGTACCATGTGTTTGAGCCGTAGACGCCAGCAAAATGACCAATTTTCCCTCCAAAAGTCGCTACAGTATCATTTACCCTCTGGTAAACTAACAGTTTGCTGTTGAAAATGGCCCATTGATAGTTGATTTACCAGTTAAAAATAGTGATTTTCCATAGCTACGTTAGTTTACCAAAGGGTACATACAATGAATTGGAGCAACCCTGTAAAACAGCACTTTATGCAATCTTAATGGGAAAAATATGACTAATCAGTGGATGAATCATCTTGAGTATTTCATCTCACCTCGCAAACACATCCCCCAACCAGATCATTATCGCTTGTAGTTTTTCTTCTGCTGGTAGACATACTACATCCAATGGTTTATCATCATTTTGCCCATAACATTATATAAAATATGCCATGAGGAATAAATGAATAAGGGATCAACACCGACATGATTAGTTAAAATTGGGTGACACAATCCAGTTGTGACACACGGCCCGGCTGTACAAACATCTGAGATTTCATCGAAGCTGAACCAGCTGGAGTAGTTTCAGCCGTACCAACCATCATTTGACTTTCACAAAGTGGCTCGGAATGGCCCAATTAATACAGTTGTTTTGATTTCTATACAATATACACGTAGGGAACATTATTTCAGAACCATGGGTCTTTTAGGCGTGTCCCAAATTTTCTGAGACGGTCAGATTCAGACCATTCCTGGTGTTTTGTCACCATCATCAATTATTGTATCACCAGATTTCTGGTTGAAACTCTAAAAAAATGACGCTTGGATCCTCATAAAATAAATATACATATAAATATACGTATAATAATCGTATATATATATAATTATATATAATCCAGCAGTCTTTTCCGCCCAGTCTTACAGTTTCCTTCTAACTTGACGGCCTCATCTCGCCCATGCGTTGTTCGGCTCGAATGCGCAACCTCCGTTAGAAACATAGAATGCACACCAGAGATTCTGAAAAACAGCTACCCTCCAATAAATTAACCATAGTCAATAACCATAGTTAGATTGGGTTATAAACTATCTTGCAGGGCTTATAACCATAGTTAATAACCATAGTTAGATGATGTTAGATGGGGTTATAACCAAAATTACCCTCTGGTATATTAACATAGACCCTGGCAGATAGGGGTTGGAAGACTAGTTTCCACTACAAATTGGTGATTTTATGTGATTTTCAGGGTCTATGTTAGTTTACCAGAGGATAATAAGGAACAAACAGTCAATGGATGTCAGTGGTTCTGGATCTTATAGGCAAAAACATCAAAGGGATGATTAATGGTGGTATGTAAAAAAACGGTCATGGGACACAAAAATATGATATATATATAATGGTGATAAGATCAATGGTTGGTCATTTTAGTGGAGACTATGTTGACAAACCCTCAAAATTGGGGGGTACTGAATTTTCAAACAAACCCTGGCAATGACATGCTGACCCTTCAGAATCCTTCTCTGGCAATGGTAAATCCCTCATTCGGTCCCATCTAATCCATCTACCTTCCAGAGACCAAATGCCCTACTATTAGTTTGACCTATTACTATTATAGAGCCCCACAATACAACATGGTTTTGATATGGTTTGATTGCATATCCGACATATCCCATGTATCAAATATCATTGTATATCCCATCAATATCTCTATCATACTTGGGTATTCCCATTTAATGATTTCTATCCCATAATTGAACATTAGTAACCTCATAAGTTTTACCCCATTCTCAGACAAACCCCACATGTTGCAGGTTCCAGATTCTCCTGTATACCACTTGAGTTCCCCGGCTCACGGCAAAGTGCCAAACCTTCCGCGCGAACCTGCGAGCTCCGGTCTCATTACAGCATCAACATTGTGTTTTCAACCCATCCAGTTGAATACCATCCAGTTTAGGAAAAAAAAAACTGCAATTATACTGTATAATATATTATTATATCATGTCATATCATGTCATGTCATATCAATATCATAGCATGTCATGTCATATCAATATCTATCATATCATATGATTATAAACAAATATATTTGTATGTATGTGATTCTGCCGGGATGGATCAAGTAAGTTCTCCACGGGGTCGAGAGGTCGAGATTGGGGCTTTTCCGGGAGCTTCTCACATCTTTCAATGGCCAACCGAAAATGGTGCAGTACCCAAGGTATTAAGAGATTTGCGATTTACTCATTCACCTTTGGTTATAAAGTCAATGGGAGATCTTCAGGATCCTAAAATGGAGGTACGTTAGTACCATATTTCAGGCCATATTTTGTGGGGATATCCCCTGAAATTAAGGCCAGTATCATCCCACGAATCTAAGTGCTGAAAACTAAGCCGCGCCTGGTTAGTAGTACCCGGCCTGGTAAACGTTAACAAAAAGCTATGGAAAATCACCATTTTTCATGGGAAAATCCACTATTTCTATGGCCATTTTCAATAGCTATGTTAAATTACCAGAGGGTAAGTGCGTTAGCCACTTTCGAGTTATCGAGTCATGATCTTGATCCTCCACCCATTCACCATATTCACCACCCAACCCAATTCGAACCTGCGGCAAATGCTGCACTTGAAAGCCGGCCACAAATCGCAAGGCTAGCACCAAATCCTGGTGTGGATTTCAGGTCGGGAATGTGCTATGGTTTTTGATGGGAAAAATGAACACATCTACAGGAAACCATGGTTCTTACAAGTTATTGCCATCAAAGATGAAGTTTTAAGGGAAATTCAGGTTTCAAGTTTCCCTTCAAACAATTCTGATAGGGTTGAAAGGGAAAATTGGAGGAAAGCATCCCAATCTGGCACTGACACCACTATCTAAGCCATCAATAATGTAGAAAGCATGCAGAAATCATATGCAAAAATGGAACCCACTAGAAACGGATGCATGTTGCTTCAGCCACCCAACAACTGATGGTGGGACAAGTCAGAGATATCAATGATATCACCATCAAAATTGACAAAAAGTTGGCTCCTAACAATTCAGCTGCTGCTGGTGTCATCCCCCCTCGAAAAAAAAAAGAAAGAAACTCGTCAGGTATCATCAGACATCAACAAATGTCCATGGTGGCCTAAATTCCAAGTGAAAATCCGAGATTCTAAGCCCCAAAAAAACATCATCGGGATGGAAATGAACAATGATCGAAACCACCTGCTGCTAATCTGATCTACATGTCTGTCATAAATTCCAGCCCTACAAACCTGATCAAGGCAAAAAGGCGGTTCCAAAGACGTTTTTATAGAAATGTGTGAAATAAGATACATCAACATCAACCAAACATTCAACATGCTTTGGTGCTTTCTCCCAATATTGACACCTAAGACCGAAGATGAACCAACATTATTATGCTTTCAATGTTACATTTGATGTGAACGCCGTATTTATGTTGGATATTGTCCTTTCCTACACTGGTTAGTCCAAAAATGTGCTATATCCCCCGAGATTGCAGTTTGATTTGAGAAAATGATGATTTACCACTGGAATTAGGGGTGGGGGCATATTTTCAGACAGACCCATATTCAAAATAATTCATCTTATATAGGCAAATGACTATGCACCCCATTATCCCATGAACATCACGTTTTCCACAGGAATTGCCATTTTGGGAGTATATAATTATACTTATAGAGGATTTTCCCAGCTAGAAACCTCCATTTTTGTGGGGATTTACCAGCTATAGCATGCTTTAGCCATGGTTTACTACCGGAGGGTACCCAATTTTTAATCCAGCGCTAGCCACGCCCGCTAACCGCCCGAAAAAAACCAGGCACCAGAGGACGCCAACGATGCTTTCGGAGCCGCCAGCGCAGATCCGCGATGATGGGCCTGGTAATGTTGACACATACCCAAGTACTGGTAACTGGTAACCGTAAGCCATCCCCAAAATCACCACAAATATGGGGTATAAACCACCCCCAAATGGTAGGTTTATTATTGGGTTCCCCACATGAATTGGTATTTTCCAATATGTTTTACTGGGAAAATAGAGGAAAAATGCCCCATCTTTAAATTGATATCTTGTTCTGAGGCAGAACGGGAAGTATCTTCAGGATCACCTTTGGGATCCTAAATGATTAGTAACAGTCAGGATAACCCCACAATTCGGAGACTTACTAAACAGGCTTATGACATGTTTTTTACCATTCACAAAGTGGGATGATCTTCCAAATACTCTTTGCGATTGGTCACTTGATGTCACTTGTGTGCGCCCATCCACTTTTCGGGGCTGGTATTGTTGGCACTACCCCTGGGGTGGACTGGTGCTGGATATCTCAGATACATCCCAGATGTAATCCCAGTTGTGAGGGGGTCGACCCACTTATCTCATCATGGATCAACAGGATCAACGCTTCAAGTCTCATCTCGACAGCTTCAAACCCTGATCCACAGCTTCAACTTTCAGCCCCTCGTCTGGCCTTAATGCCCCGACCCAAGGGCAATAGTTCAACCTCCGGAGTGCTTGCAGAATCACCGAATAATCCCTGGCGCGGGAAGTTGTTTCGTCCACCCGAAAGCGTTGGATCTGACCAGACCACCATGAATTCCTTAACATGTGAAGCAGGTCCCTGAGACTTGGCAGAGACAAAGGGCTGTTGTATGATATTCAAGTTGTGGACAAACTTCTTTCACTGGCAGGATTCCAATTGAATAAGACTATATATTCTAGCAGAGCTTTGCGCCTGGAAATCGCAGTGAAACGATTATTTCTTTCAAGATTTTCAAGGCCAGATATGGTGCAATGGATGCACGCATCTATAGTTCCCACCGTGGTTGCCAGCTACCTTCACGCATCCCCAAAATATGAAAATCACTTGGGATTTGGATGGATTTGGGATTCTCATTTCAACTACGATGGAAAATTCCAAATTTTCACACCCAGCAAGCAGTTATATGTATTGGCCCAATATAGTCCCATTTTGTTGGTGAATTTCCAATCCAAGCACCGCAACCGGCCCCCAAATCAGCCAAAAAAAATACCCACGCCCCATCCCATGACATATGTGTTGGTCAATAGCTATCGCTTTGATTTTTTTTTCTGATTCTCCCCAATCAACCAGGTAGAAACGATATTCCGCTATATTCCGCCGTAACAAATCAACCATCACCTATATGTTTGTCCTTCAATTTCTGGGTATCTCACATGTTAAAACCCAATCGTAAATCTGGCGGTTAAATCCCTATATGACCAACCGTCACTGATTGAAATCCCAATTTGGTCGTCTGTCTGAAAATGACACTTTTCAAAGCCAAGGTTGACGCAACTAACCTGGTTACGTATGAAATAACCGGTTAACGGTTGGGTTTATTAGGATATAACATAACGTATAACGAACTAGTTAGTGGATGTTAATGGAGCGTATAAAACTAACAAACATACCTGGGGGGGGTCCTCACCTTGTATGATACTATTGATAAATCTCCATCAAAATAGGGTAGCCTCTGGTAATTAGTCACATGGCTTGCTGGAAAATCCCACAATCTTACCTGGTTGTTGGTTTCAACCCCTCTGAAAAATATGAAAGTCAGTTGGGATGATTATTCCCAATATATGGAAAAACAAAATTCATGTTCCAAACCACCAACCAGTTACCATTTCAGGCATTTGAATGCCCATTTAGTAATCATTTAGTTCGTGGATTTCCCAGCTTGCCGCCATGTTTGATTGCCTTAGTTGCATTAGTCAAGATCCCCAATAGATTACCCTCTGGTAAACTAACATAGCTATGGAAAACCACCATTTTTAATGGGAAAACTCACTATAAATGGCCATTTTCCATAGCTATGTTAGTTTACCGGAGGGTATTTGCTGGTGATTAACCTCGAATATCCAACCCAAAACTATCATCTCAAATATTCATCATCCCGTGGTTGAATATGGTTTTTGACATGTTTGTCATCTCAAGGTTGAACAAGAAATATCAATAATGTCAACCCTGGATTAGTAAACCCCGTTTACAGCTGTGAAAAATTGGAAGCTACCATTTTAGTATCAGATTATCATGATTATCACTCCAAATGGAGAATATCCCCTAATTAATAAACCATAGTCCCCCAAGACTTTATATCTTTGAACCCCCAAAACAGTCCCAACGCACGCCCCAACGGCCCCCAACGGCCACCGGATGGACTTGGCGACGCACCTCACCGAGCCCCGACGCAGCTCACAGGCGCAACGAAAGGCTTCCGTCAAGCCACAGAGCAGGTGCTCGTCGCGCCAGTGCATCTGGCAGTGATTTTGGGTAAAACCCAGCAGATTTCTGGGGCCACAAGTGGGTCACTTAGGCCCACTAAGGAACCAGCCATTTTTTACGGAGTTCAATCAAGACATGTGATTTACGTCATGATTTAAGCCATGAAATCACCGGACAAGCCCACGTTCTGGGACTTATTGGAAAAACAAATAGATGAAAGGGTGTCGTAGGGGTCACAAAACATAGAATTTTTTATAGGTTAGTTAGTTCCTGTTGTCTTTGTGTTTTGTGTTTTGCGTTTTTCCCCTGAGGATTGGCATTTTGGTGGCGGCTGATGATGGCCACCTAGTTCTCTCCAAATTAATGTCCAAGCCTGTCTGGAAGTCTATGCAACTTGGTAACATGACATAGAAACTGTTCGTCGTACATAGTGTGTGCAATGTCTCTCATATATGTATATATATATATTCTTGCATATGATGTGGCTTGGCTGTTTCTCAAAAACCGATTGATTAAATGACTTTGAATACCTTCGTGGTTTCTTGATCACCTGCTAAAAGTTTGACTTTGAGTGGGATAAATCATAATATAAAACAAACCCATCTAAACCCAAAAAGGCCCAAAATCTATGTAAGTGGCTACACTTCATCCAGCACTTCATCCAGCACTTCATCCAGCACTTCATCCCCACCTGAGCACAGCTCTGCAAGATGGACCCAATGTGGCTGACCTGGCGCTTCGGCACTGATATTGATGTCGCGGGCCTTGAATCTCACTGGACATATATAGATGTAGATAGATCAACAGGTTTGCAAATAGAGGGATGCGCTATATATATATATGTGTGTGTGTGACCATATCTTTCATATACACGTATGGGTATGGGTATACATTCATCCCCACCAATTGTAGCAACTACAGGGTCCCTATTGCAGCAGGATTCTGGGATATTCTGCGACCCAATGATCTACCCTCGGGTCGTTGAACAGTTTGCTATTGAAAATCACCAGTTCTTTACATTTATGGGCCATTGGTAAACGACCCATAAATGGGCCATCTAAAAAATAGCCAGGTTTAACATAGCTATTTATAAATCATCTATTTCTATGGCATTATGGGCCATTCTCCATAGCTATGTTTCAGAAACTACCGGTATCATGTTCAAACTAAGATGTCCTATTTAAAAACATTGCCATCTTAGCGGATGTTCCACCATTTTGGAAGCAAACCAATAGGCACCGTACCATTTCGTTTCGCCGCAACGCTGGCAGGTGCAGTGAAAATTCCAACTGGAAAAAATCAGTTCCTTCCTCTCCTTTGGAGGAATGTCCTCATCAATGTAGGAGAAGGTTAACTCCTCGTCGATCGCAATGTCACGCAGGGCGTAGAACTTCACGTGGCCCTCTTCCATACGATGCAAACCTGGTGCTGTGGATGGTGGTGGCAGCTGGTTGTGGCTGAAAAATATGTGGCTAAATTCGGATCAACATCCCAATGGTGGAAAATGTGCCAAATACCACCAACTAGATCCAGCCAGAAGATGGTTGGCCAATTAATTCGGAATCACTTTCAGAAAATGGACAATGTGGTTTGTTTCGTATGTGCAAGTATTCATTGTTTGTCCAATGCCAATGCCCCTCTGGCTGGCGATCTGGCTGGCGGTCTCCGCTTCTGAAAAAGAGCAGTTTTTTTGGGTTGATCATCCCAAATTGAGAACACATCAAAACTCAAATGCATCTTCAAAAAACTTCAAACAACTTCAAACACTTCAAACAACTTCAAACACTTCAAAACACTTCAAAACACTTCAAACACAACATCACCCAGAGACAATTTGGTTCACAGCTGTGATTGAAAAACGAGGCCGTGGGCAGTAAGCAATGGCCATCATCTGTGCCAGCATCCCAGAAGCCAAATGCATTCCTTGGATCTTAATTCATTGGCTTAAGGGAAAATCTTCACCGGAAACCCATGGGTTTTTACCATGAAATCTAGGGGGTTCCGGTTAAAATTTCCCTTAAACCAGTCCAGTGATTCGATGTGAACCTTGAAATGAAAAAAACCCTGGAGGAAATCTTCGCGTTTTTCGTAGAGGGATGATTGGCGATTATTTTGGCCATCAATTCTGTTTAATTATGTAAATATAAATAAATATCATATGTTGGATATGGTAGGACCATGATATCCGTCAATCATTTTTGGCTGTGAATTAGATCACTTCGAAAAAATGATTGATGGCCAACCATAAAAGATCCCGGCTCCGAAATATCAGAAAAGTATAGAAAAGTATGAAACACATGTAATTCTAGCGAAGTGTTTCCCGCATCCGCCATGCCTGCAAACGAAGCCATGGTAAATCATGGTGATCCATGAAAAGCATCATTTTACTACTATAGCAACCCCCAAAAAGGTGCAGAAAGGGGTTTCCAAAATGGTAGTTCGATGATACTGTGGATGGTTGCGAAATCCAAATCACCAGTTGATAGATGGTTGATCCCATTATTGGGTTTCAAGCATCCTTTTGGTGGTGCAGGATTTTGCAACCATCCTCATATGTTCATAAAGTGACTTTTTCCCGATTTCCAAGTTTTCGGCATCTTTTTTGGGCATTTCTCCTATTCAACACAACCGATTTGTTCCGAATCAGCCAAGGTTCTTGGTCCCAGCAGCATTGAAATCAACTGTCAAGAGCATGTTGTGTACATAGATACATATCATTTCATATATTCATATATGTATGTATGTATGTATGTATACAGTATATGATTATGTATATATATATGTATATATATATATATATGTATATATATATATATATGTATACATCTATATGTATATTATATGTATATATATATGTATACATCTATGTATATATATATATGTATATATATGTATACATCTATGTATATATATATGTATATATATATATGTATATGTGTATATATGAATGTATGTATGTATGTATGTATGTATGTATGTATGTATGTATGTATGTATGTATGTATGTATGTATGTATGTTTGTATGTTTGTATGTATGTATGTATGCATGCATGCATGCATGCATGTATGTATGTATGTTTTTGTATGTTTTTGTATGTTTTTGTATACATGTATATGTATTTGTATACATGTATATCTGTATTTGTATACATGTATATTGGGTGTATGTGTATGTGTATATATGATATATCTTCATTTATATATGTTTTACTTGTTTCACGCATTTTCAACCATATGATTAATATATAATTTATAAACGTCTACATGTATTACGAGTGATGGGATACTTCTAGACATCACCAACCCTTTGCTTAATTAACATAGTGAACTGGAAGATCACCATTTTTAAATGGCCATCTGTACCATAGCAAACTGTTGAATAACCAACTTCATGATCAGGAAAATGCCCCATTTATAGATGATGTTCCGAGGCCATGGAACAAAAATAACACCGGAGGGTCCCCTCAGGTCCCACGTCCAAGTCTCAGGGGCATCGCCGCCAACGCAGCCAACGCCTCTTGTGACTTCACCACTTCCACATCGGTTGCCTCTGGCGTTTGGTGCGTTTGGGTGGTTTGAACAAAGAAATATGTTGGTGGGGGATTAAATTTGGGCAAACCCCCACGTTTGGTGTATATATGCATATTGGGTTATCCACAATGTTGGAACCACACCCTTCCTGGTATCAAAGTGTGTCAATTTAGCAAGCTCTTTTTTTTGTGGCCCAAGAATTGAAGTTAAAAGCTAAAAATTGGGGATGTTGAAAAGCCCCCTTTTCGTGGCATATCTCCAGCATATGTACCAGTGGATTTAATCAACTTATTCAGTTATTCATATCATAGCATTTCATATCATAGTACTCAACTATTTAATCAACTTATTCAACTTACCAGCATATGACAATCATACTATTCATGTCATAGTCGCTCCTGCTGGTTCAGGCCATGGTTCATTTCTTGTGGCCATCTGTAATCCAATTTCTGTTGCTGGTGACAGTCAGTCATGTGTTTCTTTAACGTTCTGCCGCTCATCCCCCATTTTTTCACCCATATTGTGTATGTAACTACACTACATACATGTCCAACTAATCATATATACTTATTACACTATGACATATCAATGATACAGTGTGCATATTATATATATAGAACCCATGTAGGGCCCAGGGCCACAAAGTATTACTAGTTCACCAACTCCTTCAATCATCCCAAACCTTGTCCAAAAATGTGGTTGGGAAACTCAGCCATAGCGGTCCAAGATTGGCTCCCTCCACTGGATGGCATCGCCGCATGATTTTTAAGCCACATTAAACCTGTCCCTCTAATATTAAACACCCCTCATAAACCATGATTTTTGTAGCGGATGAAAAGACTTTTTTGGGACCATGTAGGACTTTAGGATCATTGAATGTGGGGGATGGCAATGTTTTGCCGCCAGGACCTCCCGCAATGGATTATGATAATCCCTAATTTATGGGGTACCTTCTGGTTATTTAACATAGCCATGGTATAGATGGCCCATAGAAATAGATGGTTTACCTATTAAAAGCATGGTGATTTTCCATGGCAATGTGAAAAATAACCAGAGGGTAGTATAAACCTTTATAATCCTCTACTAACAGGGGACGATTAACGCTGCTGAAGTATTCACCCACTAATCATTACTAATCCCACCCCCCCGATCATATTAAATAATATTAAATAGATTCCTTCCTGGTGCCCCAAAATAAATAGATCTAATACCTTCCAATACTAAACCATATGATTTTTGCCGCATTTCACCCCTTGGCTTTGCCGCATTTCACCCCTCCAAAAAATCAACCATGTGGATTCCCCAGGCACGGTGAACCTCCCATTATCCCAAAAGAAACATCAACAAAATTCCACCCCCCAAAAACAGAAACATTCAAAATCATCAAAAATCACCAAAAATAAGGCGCCATGACCTCCTGCAGCAGCCTGCCAAAGACCTTCCAGGCTTCGCTGCGGCAGCGCGCCCGGCGCTTGGCGCCCGGCCGCCCCAAGGGCTCCGCCATCAGCGCGGCTTCCGCGACGGACGCATCGGTGCCAAGGCCGGTGCCGGCAACGGAGGCGCGGAGGGAGATGAGCAGCGCCACGTTTTCGCCTCAGAGGTGCTGTTTTTTGCACAAATGGGGGGGTACAATGTGGGGCCCCCAAGATAGCTAAGTTGGTTTATACAAGGTGGTGCCCCCCAGTTATAAGTTGGTTTATAATCCCCAGAAACTATAGATATAACCCCCATAAACCCTAGTTATTGGACTTATAAACCAACTTAGCTAACTATGGGGCACCACCTTGTAACTACAATAACTAGGGTTTATAGTAGTTATAACCATAGTTAGATGGGGTTATAAACCAACTTATAACTAGGGGGCCCCACGTTGTAGTGAAAAAATGAGCAAAAAAAGAACAAAACTGAGGATAGGGATTATAGTTGTATTCTAATGGGGAATATCATGGATTATAGATTATAGATTATACAGATGATTATCATGCGATAAAATTGATACAACAACAGCATCCCAGTGAAAATCAGAAGCGGATTTGGAATGGGGGATATTATATCCCTACTACCTGGGAAACTCTAATTGCAGCTACCTGGATAGCCGTAGCTTCAGCATTTTAACCAATATTAACCAATCAAGGGAAATTGGACTTCACCAAGAATGGTGGGTTCATTAGTCTTCACGAGGTTACCCTCTGGTAAACGTTTACATAGCTATGGAAAATCACAATTTGTAATGGGTAAATCAACTATTTCTATGGCCATTTTCAATAGCTATGTTAGTTTACCAGAGGGTACTATTTGATATGACTTGCTCTGGGCGATGCTTTAGTTGAGCTTATTGAGGTCCCTTTTGTCGACATCCGAGCTGGTGGATGATAGCCATCGCCCGCTATGGCATGGTGAGCTGCTATGGCTGGATTTGTCTGAAAAATATGGTACAAATCCATTGGTTAATCATCATAAGTTTGAGTTTGAGCATGTGTGTTAGGACCGGAAAGATGGTGAACTATGCCTCCGAAGGGCAAAGTCAGGGGAAACTCTGATGGAGGCTCGTAGCGGTACTGACATTTCCCCTATTAAAAGTACCTTTTTGGGGGGTATACATCATTTTCAGACAGACCCATATGGCTGGACACACCGAATTCATGACCCAGAAATCAGGTGATTTTAAGCCAGGTGCCCCACAGATTTAAGGGGCATCGCATCCTGCAGCCACAGTGGCGTACTTCCAACGGCACCTTCAACGACGCTAATGCCTTCAGCAAAGAACACTCCAAGGCGTGTCGTCCTTCGTCCATTTCCTTGAGGTGAGTTGGCCGGTGATGGAAGTCCATCATCAATGAATTAATTACCCTCTGGTTATGACTAACATAGCCATGGTATAGATGGCCCTAATCGAAATAGATGGTTTACCGAACTTAAAAATGGTGATTTTCCATGGCGATGTGAAAAATAACCAGATGGTAATTGATATGAATTGTCCATTGCCATGTTTGATTACCGGAGGGCACATGGAGCCACCAAACCTTTTACGAAGAACGGGGAGTCAGATGGAGACCCGTTGCTGTCACGTGTCCGTACAGGGCATGTGGATTCGCGTCCGGAAAGGGTGAGATATAGAGTGGCAGAGAAACTATAGATAACATTAGATAACTATAACATATGATAATAAACTTTGGGACCTTGAGGGTACCTATTTTCAGACAACCCCCCTGTGTTTTCACCATGGCCCTGGATGTTTCTTGTTTGGTGGCCAACTCTGCCACTGCATGCGTGGCGTAGCAACCTGGGGCAACCACACGATTCAATACAATTCATAGATGTCTTTTTAGCGTATCTTAGCACATCTTGAGTTGGTTCAGATTGGTTCCTCTGAATTCTCCTGTCATCCTTCAACCAATCCCCGCCAAAAAATATGTTCGTCAATTACTATTTTGGATTGGATGTGACTTGTCTGCATCTTGACTTGGGGATTGCTATAATGTGGTAAACGCAATAATTACCTAAATTAGAATAGAACCATGTCAATCCATATCAAACCACAAGAAAAAGACGCAGTAAACCATCGTTTTATGATGGTTACCATCTGGTTATGACTAACATAGCCATGGAAAATCACCATTTTTAATAGGTAACCAATCTATAAATCGGCCGTTTTCCATGGCTATGTAACTAACATAACTATTGAAAATTGCCATTCAGTTCGTTGATTTACCCATTACAAATGGTGATTTTCCATAGCTATGTTAGTTTACCAGAGGGTAAACCTCCATTTTCCTATGGATTTTTCTATGTTTTCCCACCATTCTTGGTGAAGTCCAATTTCCCTTGATTGGTCGGACATGGACGACCCAAGCGTCTCGACACTTCCAGGAGCACCATCTCACCTCCCCGCAGGAGGCGCAGCCCTCGACGTCAGCGCAAGCGCCGAAGCAGTGGCGACAGCGCGACCATTTGGCGCTGCGGTGGAACGTCCACATGATGGGTTTCCTCGGTTCTGCGCGCAGATGGGATGAACAAATATGCACATATATATATATATAATTATATATATTTATCATATCATATATATAATATACATCATATATATATAATATCATATATATATAATTATTATATATATATCAAAATAGTTGTTGGTCCTGAAAAATGAGGTACAAATGAACCCAGAAAAGACTAGGCGTTTCAAGTATAACACCATCCACAGCCTGATCCATGTCAGGCCAATATGTTTGAACCATACCAATATGGCTATCCTCTGGTAGCCCATATATATATAGGTATAGCTGCAAACAAGCCAGAATTGAGAAGTAAAAATGACATCGACATAACTTGACTGAAATGTTCTTAAATTAATAAATCAGTCCATGGGACCCCTTTTGAGTGGGTTCTTTTGCCAGCGAATGAATGCAGGAAGCTCATGGATTCCGAACCATTTTTTAATAGATGGTTTCGTTGTTTAAAACATGTATGTCCATTCAATGCTCAAGATGAGAATTTGTTTTAATTGCCCACTGAAAAACGTAAATATAATTACTATGTAATATATATATATATAATGTGTACTAGTATATATATCTGGGTAAATTATAATATTTCACTAACATGAATTAAGGCCATTTTGGGATGATTTCCCTTACTAACCATGATTTCCAGTGAGGTCGCAGTGAGGTCGTTATAATTTACCCAGATATATATATATATGTAATGTAAGTTTGCGCTACAAATGCTCCGTGTTCCTCCATGAAAAGATCCCAGTAAAAACTTGTAACAACTTCCCCAATTTTTCGCCTCGGGTTCTTGAGAGGATGGCACGCCGTGTTTTGTTCGAATTTCAATATAAAGAAATGACAAGCAAATGGGGGTTTCCTCAAATGGTGGTACCCCTAGTTACCCTCTGGTAAACTAACATAACTATGGAAAATCACCATTTTTTAATGGGAAAATCCACTATAAATGGCCATTTTCAATAGCTATGTTAAATTACCAGAGGGTATCATCCATTTTAGATTGGGATTTTCCATTAGAAACCATCCCATTTTAGGGTACCCCATGTGTGGAAAGCGCCTAAATCATCCTAAATCCATAATTCATTCTGCATCGCATTGCGTTACCCAAGGTGCATGATCTTGTCCGGGTCTGATCATTTTCTCCAGGCTTCAAGGAGCGAAAAATTGATGACTAATTTCCACTCTAAAAGCAACTGGTTGGTTGGTCATACTCTTTGCAATTCAAAACAGTAACTATTCGTAACCTTACGGAACTACCCAGAATTTTGATCAGGTAGAGTTTTAAAGTAGAGCCCCTTACCATCCCTGACCAGCGATCATCACATGTGCCATGATCATAATATGGTATCCGGGGTATGTTCACCGTCATGAATGGGATTCCTATGGCTATATGAACCCCTATGAAAATGGAGGGATGACCCTCCCCACTCTTCGGAAAATCACTGATGTAACTAATGATGTAACTCGAACATGGCATGACTTCAGGCTTCCCGTGCCACATCCAAGACTTTTGAACTCGCCCAGTGACTCAGAAAAGACCAGGGCACCGCATGTAATGGGCTCCACCTCAGGTCAGCCATCGCAGTGAAAGACGGAAGTGGGATGATTTTGTCCCATCTTCCAACTTTAGTTTATAGCTATAATTTTCTTATAACCACTGGTTGGTGGTATACCTAGTTGGGGTTACTATTCCCAATATATGGAAAGTCATAAAAATCCCATGGTTCCAGTCACCACCAACCAGAAAAATGACAAGCAAATTTTGATTCTCATGCCCACATCACACTGACCAAATGGAATGGGCAAACCAATCTCCATGGCATAGACAAACCTACCCCCGTTCGGAAAGTGCAGCTGTACCAGCAGGCGGCTTGGGCAATCACAGCTTCCAAACCACCAACCAGATTATTTTTAGCCTATTTGACTTACAACACCCATTTTTTTCCGGAAAAAATCAACCATGGCCTTTCGGCGCAGGTCTTCTGCGTGTGGAGCGCCGGGGGGAGGTTGTTGGTGGCTGCCACAAATCATCCGTTGACCCTACTGGACTTCTTGGGAAAATGACCAGAGGTCATGACTCTGCAAAAACTCTCCGTCTCGTCTCGTGATATCATTGTTATATATATATATATATGCTATTGTTATAAGAAAGATGTCAACCAGCTCCACTAAGTCACTAAGTGGTAGTTGAGACACCCATGGCATCATTCCTAGATGTAACAAACCGTCAACTTCGCTGGCTGAGCGCGCTGAACGTCTATATTATGCCTATCAACCGTTGCTTAAGTAGTCCAATTTCAGAAGGGAAATTTTTAGACTGGTTCAATGGGGATATCATGTGGATATAATGAGAATCTGTTTTGCTGATATCATCACTTTTTGATAGAATCTGTACCCATCAGTCATTTTTCCGGACAAAAAAAGAACCATCCATTTGAAGCTCATCCCATATTTCCCATTGAATTACGATGATCAGATCATCTGGGAAAAGTTGCAAAAGCTTGGACATCTTCATGTCCATCTTGAAAAAAAAACAGCGAAATCCCGGGAAGCGGCAACGCCGAGTTGCAGCAAAAATGCCCCGCCCAGCCGCACCCGCGTCGCGCACTTCCAAAAACGCTGGAAGTGTCATGCCATGGCGACAGCGATGGCTGGGAGTTGCTGGGATTTACTGCGAATTTCATGGGGATTGATGTTATTTCATCGGGATATTTAAGCATTGAAAACCCACATGAAAAACCCCAAACATAGGGTCTGCAAGATGATTTTCCTTGATTGTGTGCGCTTCTAGTGGGTCGATGAGTTATGACCCCGTATCTAATTTATGAATAGGATTGAAATTCGATTGAAAGGCCATCCCTATCGGTTTGAAGCATGGAAAATTCTGATGGATTAAGAACATTTCGGCAACATTTCTATGGTCTTAAATTTATAACTGATGAATTTCCAGCACTTAATTCTGGAGGATCATTTCCGCAGTCTGAAAAACTTCTAATCAGTTGTCTCTTACATGAGGACCAGCATATACCAGCATTGGACCCCTGCACCAGTCTTTGCCAGTCAGGGCCAGACTGCACTAGAAATTGGCATCCAATCCCTTCCACAGAATTATTCAAAAATAGAACACCCGAGGTCAAGGGGCCCCAGGGGCCCAAGACACCAAGAACCATATGGTCACAAAGGATGCTCCGTTGCGGAGATGTGGCTTGGGCCCAAACCATACATGAAGACCTAGGCCAGACCAAAAGGCCACCATCAACCATCCCAACCATACCAAGCAAGTCCCAGCGGTCCCATATCCCAAATTTTTCTCCCAATATACCCTCTGGTTATGTCAAAGTAGCTATGGAAAATGACCATTTATAGTGGATTTTCCCATTAAAAATGGTGATTTTCCATTGCTATGTTAAATTACCAGAGGGTAGTTATCATATATTCCGTTCTCCATTATAAATTTCATAGTTGATAAATACAACAATAACCCATTCTCCCAGACAAAAATGGCCCATCAATGTGGGTAAAACAATGCCATTTGCACCATCCTCCAGTCATCACCATCTTTATAAGTGTTTTTTTAACCATTCCTAAATGGGTGATTTATTGTTTTACTCACATGATATTATTCCATTCATATTCCATTATATTCCAAATGTCTATTATATTCCATAGATTCCATAGCTATAAAATAACTTAACCCATCAATCTCCCATTCATATTCCATTCATGTTCCATTCATATCCTGGTTGGTGGTTTCAACTCCTCTGAAAAATATGACTTCGTCAGATTGGATCATCATCCCAACTATTGGGGAAAATAAAAAATGTTCCAAACCACCTTCCATTCATTTCTGTCATCTTCCAACTCCCGGGTTCCCACCTTGAAGTGTCGCAAGGACTGCACCGCTGTTCGGCTGAGCGCCTGCCAGGCCTGGAAGTCCTTGACCCCGCTCTGCGCGGCAGCAACGAACTGTCGGGGCCTTGGGTCCGATCCACCATGGCATGGAAAATCTCACCGAACATCCATGAACTGGTGGTTTCATATATGGCAGTGTGTCAAAACCTTGTACCCCTTCTGTTCACATCAAAATAGCTGGGATTTATGGATGTTCATCCCATTAAAAATGGTATTAATAGGTATTGATCCATACCCATATGTTTAATATGTGGTTAATATACTGTTAATATATGGTTAATATTAATGGTGATTATATGGTTAATGATGGTTAGTAATAATCTGGCTGGTGGTTGAGCCACCTACCCCTCTGAAAAATGATGGAGTGAGTGAAAGTCAGTTGGGATGATGATTCAATTCCCAACTGTTTCTGGAAAGTCATAAAATTCAGAAGCTCCAAACCACCAGCCAGATGAAATATGGAGGTTTTGCTGGGAATATATGGGAAAACCAACTAGAAGATGATTGTCCATTGCCACGGTTGATTACTGGAGGATCTTTTCCGGGATGATCAAAACCGGTGAAAATTGGAAAAGCCATTGATTTTTCAGCTATCAATTTGGGTTTTCAGCTTCGGAAATGGGCACTGCAAACCAGGGCATTTCCAAACGAAAAATGGGAAACCCATGCGGAAAACATTGTGGATTTGCTGGTGTCCAGGGGACATGCGTAGATACCTGCCCTAGAAGGCTAAGTGCTACAGCTTTTCACAGCATTTCACAGCATTTCACAGCTTTTCACAGCATTTCACAGCATTTCACAGCATTTCACAGTGCACTTTGGTTTGTGCATCAATCTCTTCCCTTTATTTTTCCCTTTCTGTTGGCATCCATCTCCAAATAGAATAGAAGCATCTGATCTGCGAAGTATCAATCCTATCAATCTCTTGGAAAACAAAAGATCATCCCAGATGATCCCAAATTACCCTGGAGTTCACATCAAAACGGATCTTCTCCCCGTTCATATGCGTTAGATACTCTTGACCCATTCAAATGTTACCAGTTATGTTTTCAATCTCTATATATTATATCAAATAATACACATTGTCTTCATCTTAATGTTTAACTTCTGGAAACTCCAACCTTTGCTAGAAGTTCAAAATTAACGATGATACATCTGCAAAACCATCATCATGGCATATGTTCAACTTCTTTTTTCATGTCATCTTCATGTTCAATTTCCCCAGTTTGAATATTGGTTGGTGGTTTCAACCTACCCCTCTGAAAAATGATGGAGTGAAAGTCAGTTGGGATGATGATTCAATTCCCAACTGTTTCTGGAAAGTCATAAAATTCAGAAGTTCCAAACCACCAGATAAAACATGGAGGTTGATTTACCCATCAAAAATGGTGGATCTTTCCATAGTTATGTGGCTGTTTACCAGAGCGTAATTGATTCAAGCCTTGGCAAATCAACGGCACAGCCACACATCTTCCGGACTCGCCAGCTTGGAGAAGAGTTCCAAGCTCTCCTCGGAATGCGCCTGCCGCGTCTTTGGGGATGGCCGGATGGTCAAGAAATGATCCAAATGTCGAACAGAACTCCAATAAGTATGGTTTATGATAATTATTAATTATATAACAAAAAAAACAGCAGCAAATCATCGCAAATCCTCCAAGATCTGGGTTTAAATTGATTTTATTGCATGGTTCCATCATGTTCCACCATCCCTGGACTATTCTGGACTATTCTGGACTCACGTTCCCCAAAGCGGGGACCCCTGCCTGCACCTTTGGTACCTTGGGTCGCACCATGCGTTCGAAGATGGACGTCTCGCCTTCGGGAGTCTGGCCCGTCGCAGTCGTGCCATGGCGGCAGGTCCTCAGGAGCGCCATGGTGGGGATCGCTGGGCTTAGCAGCGCTGGAAGATCATGCTTAAAATCAGTGAAAAAACATGGGAATCTCTGGAATCAGAGTCAAAAACTTGGCTACTGGAATTTAAAATTGGAATTTAAAAACCACCAAGATCTGTGGTATCCAATGAGTCAATGAGTCAAAACTTGGCGCCTGTTGGAAAACTCTGATGCCATCCGACTGTTGCCATGACACCTTCGCGGTCGCCAAACCACCCCACGGAAGTTGCGCATGGCGCCATGGCTTTTGGGGGGCCAAGTCTGTTCTCAATGTTCGAAGGCATGCTGAATTGTGAGGCCGTCATATTCTTCCGATGTCGGATGTCTGCGTGGAGCCAACCCCGAAACATCCCGAAACAAACAGTCCCGGTCTGCGAGTTTTTCTGCTGCACACCCCAAAGATCCAAAGAGGAACTTGCTCAGCACCTTACACAAAATAAAAGTTTCGCTTGTCCAGCTTGGGGGTAGATTTGCATAGCACCACCCTCTGTAGAGTCACATTTGAGCATGAAAAGCCTTCAGACAGCGACCAGCAGACCAGCAACAGAGAAAGATGACCCAGTGACCTCCACAATTCTCTGCCTGTCTTTTTCGCGGGCGTACACCCTTCAGTGCGATACAAACACCATGACAGTGAAGTTTGGGGCCAGAGTAGACTGATCCAATGGCAGTGAAACCATGTCCAATCCCCTGGGACATACCTGGGAGACACCTGTGAACTCCCACCATGGTATGTGAAAATATGTGAAACCCACATGTGTCGTTCCACAATCACAGGAGGCAGCTCTCCTGCCCCACTAGGGTCCAAAAAAGGTCCTTTTAAAAGCATCACCTTTGGCACTATTCTACCACAATTTCAGCTGATGTTTGACTGTTTGACCCTCAACAAAAAAAATGTCGAAGGCAAATCTGCCATTTCTGCTGGAGATGTCTTGGTCAGTGCTGCCGAAGATCTACGTTTTCAGTGATGCCCTGAAGATCTGCAAAGTCAGCGACTTTTTTCCGATGAGACCATTGTGGCAATGTTTCTCGCGCGGTTTCTCAGCACATGTGCTGCTTGTGCACCTCGGGCAGGCTCCCAAACTGGCTCTAAAATCATCTGATGCTTCCTTTGAGGTCTGAATCCTGCCAGTATCGCCAATGAGAAGGCCTACTTCCAAGAACCAGCAGAAACACCTAGGGCCAAAAAACAGTGAGCCAGAAACGAGAGAGGGTATTAGATCCATCTTGGAAATCTCAAGTGGAAATAGCTGGAAAGCGAAGGATGAAGGATAGTGTGGCGTGGCACATCTTTGAGCCAAGTTGCAGTTGGCAACAGCATCTCCTGTGAGATCTGAGGAGCACCACTTTGTTGGGAACCATTGGGAACCTACACCCCAAATTCCTGAGGATTTTTAGCGTGCCATTCTTGAACTCAAAAAAAAACTCGCAAGATCCTGCAAGATGGAACAGCTGGAAAATTCAGCTGCAGACATTTAAGGGTCTTTTCACATATCCAACCTGATGAAACCATGGATCAGGCCGTGTTGCACCTGAGCATTTCTGGACCATTACAGTCTCTGGGAAACAGATTTGAACATCCAGCATCATACAGGATGGTGCCCCCCAGTTATAAGTTGGTTTATAAACCCCATTAACTATACTTATATTATGTTATATCTACCATAAACCATAGTTATGGGAGTTATAAACCAACTTAGCTAACTATGGGGCACCACCTTGTAGCTATCTTTGCATATCTTTGCGGATACTCTGAGGGCCTAGTCGAAATGTGCCCCAGCTACGTTTTCCTGGAAAGCAAGCCACTGAACTAAATGTCTCTCACAAAAAACGTACATGTCTCATGTCGCTACATATTATATAGACATAGAGATAGAGAGAAATACCCTCTGGTAATTTAACATAACGATGGAAAATCACCATTTTTAATGGGAAAATCCACTATAAATGGCCATTTTCAATAGCTATGTTAGTTTACCAGAGGGTAGACATAGAGATAGAGAGAAATACATTGGATTGACAGATGGAGGTGTTTAAATATCTTAAAGCAGGATGACATCTGGCCATCTGGCCATTCAATGGTGACTTTTCGCCTCTCTCCACAACCGCGGGCAGTTGTCTCCTTTCCCTGGCGCGTCATGTTGAAAACTCCACGCAACATCTGGCCTGTGATGCCAAGGGCAGCCAGCAGCCATAGAGCCTGCCATGAAATGATGCGATTTTGCCTGGGACCCACCCCAGATTGCCATGTTCAAAACATTCTTATATTAAATGAAATGTCTTATGGTTACCAGAAAATGAAAAATCATCTTCTTATTCCAACACCTAAGTAAAAATCTTCTGCTTGCCATTTTTCTTAATGAGGAAAATGGAATGTCTGGAAATATGCCAATGCCGTGCTTTAAAAATGTTTAAAACCTCCTTTTGCCGTCTTTGCCGATGGGGCGATTTAGCAGAATTTCACGAATGAAATCACCGGAGGGGGGGGCGGTTTTTTCCTCGGTATCATCTCAGGGATGGGGAATTGAGATACTGTATATACCCTTTGGTTGTTTTTCACATAGCCATGGAAAATCATCATTTTTAATAGTTACATCATCTATAAATGGGTCATTTTTCCATAGCTATGTTAAATAACCAGAGGGTATATTCGTATAATTATTCTATTTCCAAAATCACTTCAATCATCCCATTATATCCCATTTTCAGGATAGAAAAATAGCACTTATTTGCAACAAGCACATTCGAAGTCGGTGACTGCGACAGCCGGTCTTTGATCTTGACTGGGTGCAGGTGATGATGGCATGAGGTACCCCAAATAGGATGATTTACAGCTGCTGCGAAGGGAACTTGGTGCAAGATGGGCCCCCCCAGTTGTATTGGGTGCTTTGTTCAGATAAACCCATTAAATAGAACATACCTGCCATAAATTGCTACTTCGACTAATTGAATAAACCTCCCAGCCATTGCCAGCCATCGTTGCCCCTTCGTGTGGTCAGGTTCTTGGCTCCAGTTCAAGCCGCCATGGAAATTTGGAAAATTCCGCCTCAAAACTGGAGAAACTGCATCCTCAAAACTACGAATCATCAACCATGAAATCACCATGTGTTAACCAATCGCCGGTTTCCAAACCATTTCCCAGTTATTTACAAAAGTAACCGCCAGCCATTGTCCAGCCATTTAAACTTTTGCAGACGGTTTGCCAACCTTTGGCCAGCCTTTGCAAATCCTTTATAGCCAATGTTCCAAACCATCTCGAGATCATTTACCACCAACCATGTGCAGGGCATTTACCGCTTTTTTGCAAGCCTTCAATGAACCAAACTATTTTTTATCAGTTTTGCTCAAAGGCATTCGACCATCTTCAAGACCATTTACACTGGGCTAAATCAACGTAGATGTGGAGCATAGCCCATTTTTGGATGATTCAATTAATTAACTATCTATTCAAATGGTGATGTTCCATAGCAAACCGTTAGATAATTATATAAATAACCATAGGGTAACCAATACCATGTAGCATCCTTTCACCAAAGCTCTTCACCTCCCCAGTCCTCCCATTCCCCAAAGCCTTCCTGAAGAAGCCTGGCGGAATGGATCTCAAGTGGGAACTAGCTCCCCATATGGTAAACCTGATAATAAACCATCCCCAAAATCACCATCAATGGGTGGTATAACTATCCCTAAATGGTAGGTTTATAGGTTTATTGTTGGGTTGCCCACATTAGTATCTATATACATATGAAGTTTGTGTATTATGTGTGTATATATATACACATAATAATAATAATAATATGTATACTATATATATACTCTATATATATATATACATATTATATATACATACATACATATGTACTATATATAGTATATACATGACTGGGGATATCACATATAATTGTACATAAAACACTGCTTAAGAACTGGACTGACCGTGCCGTCGTGCCGTGCTTGTCAAATGGATCGGATCAAACCCCGAATTTCCCCACCGAAAAAAGGGGAGATGATTTCTCATCGAGGACTCAGGTTTTTTCTCAGTTCAAATGGATTTGTTTAAGGGAAAATCTTAACCGGACACCATAGATTTTCCCATTAAATATGGGGCTTTCCTGTAAATTTTCCCTTAAACCAATCCATTGATTCAAGGAATGGAAAACTCAGAGTCACCATGGTATGAAACAGCAATGCACAACTGGTTGGTGGTATACCTACCCCTAAATCATCCATTTATAGATGGATTTTCCCTGACAAAAAACCATCCATTTTAGGGTACCCCCAATTTAGGAAACCCCATATAAATCCGTTGTTTCACAGATTTAGGAAACGCATCATCTGAGAACCCCTGGGGCCTTTTTTCCCCCCTTTTCGCGTCAACCGAACTTACCGAATCTGACGACTTGGGGTCTGTAGACATCCACCGAAAAACCAGTGGTTTTTTTTCGGTTAGGGTGCCAGGGGCTTGACACGGTTTGCCATACAAAAAAATGGAAACTTGCGATGAATACGATACCCAACCTGGTTATGACATTCACAGTTCGCCATGGAAAATAGATGGCCCTAATCGAAATAGATGGTTTACCGAACTTAAAAATGGTGATTTTCCATGGCTATGTTAAATAACCAGAGGGTATATATATATACATTGATCATATTGATAAACTTATGCGATAGCTCCTTCTAAAAGAAACCTATGAAATATTGATCATCTTTATACATATTACATTATCATGATCATCATTATTTAATCATTGATCATCATTATTTAAAATCAATGTGATCCATCTATATATATACATACATCCACATTGATCATACATTATTTTAAGTATCCTCGCCAGACATTGCCACCCCCAGTCATGCTCTGTCGTCGCCTGTAGAGCTGGATCTCTTGTCTTTGGCCACCAGCTCTTCCTGGGCATGGACCATAGCTATCAATGGGTGATTTAGGGCAAACAATGGGGCTGGAAGATTTCTTATGCTTACAGTATATGTGTATATATATATATGATTATATATGGTTATATATCATCATATATTATTATATGGTTATATATGGTTATATATGGTTATATATGGTTATATATGGTTATATGTGGTTATATATGGTTATATATGGTTATATATGGTTATATATGGTTATAGATGGTTATATATGGTTTTATTATTATACATGATTATATATATATATATATTATGGTTATATGTGGTTGTGAAACTGAATTCGTAGCTTCAACTGGCTCTCCAATTTACAGTCAAAAATACCCAGAGCTCCCTGGCTCCCTCTTAACCACCGGCCACCCAAACGGTACCCTAAGTCGTAGTTGGTTTATGGATTGTTAATGGATGGTTAATGGATGGTTAATGGATGGTTATTCCCCAAGTCATATGGTCATTTCATGTAACCCCAAACATATTTTTGGGAAGATTCTCATATTTCATGTCACCCATTCTATGCTATTTCATAGCTGCTATAGCTTTTGACCCATCCGCAATGGGATAAGACCTCCAGGCTGTAGCCATCGCTCCTCATGACTCCACGGCAGGTTGGCTGCCGCTGCTGGCGCCTAGTCGTGGGGCTTTCCATGTCGTCATGGTACCCCAAGCTGGATGGATGGTTTACCATCTGGCTATGACTAGTTCGCCATGGAAAATCATCATTTTTAATAGGTACCCTCCAGTAAATTAACAGTTTGACCCTGGCAGATAGGGGTTGGAAGACTAGTTTCCATTAAAAAGTGGTGATTTTCAGGGTCTATGTTAATATACTGGAGGGTAAGCCATCTATTTCTATGGGCCATCGAAAAACCATGGCGAACTGTTAGTCATAACCAGGTTGGGTACTAAGAAAATCCATCTATATGGCTGGATGAGGACTGGGGTACCCCTATTTCAGGAACCCCCCACGGGTTAATATTCAGTGTATTGTACGAAACGCATATATCTAACTAGTATATTATACTACAAAATTGTATTACATTATATTTCATTATATTACATGACAATACATTCTACTAGAATATATCACATGATATTACATTATATTACATTATAATGCATTAAAAGAAATTATATCACATTATATTACATCACATTACATTACCAATCGTAGTATATATTGCATTATGTATATGTTCATATTTTATCATATTAGTATCACATTATGTTTGATCATAGTAAAACACATCATATTATATTTTACTATATTGTGAACTAATACATCATAACAGATTATATTACAATCAATATATCAAATCGTATTTGTCCATCTACATATCTATCTATCCATCCATCTATCTATCCATCTATCTATCCATCTATCTATCCATGTATCCACGTATCCATCCATCCACCTATCCATCTATCCATCTATCCATCTACCCATCTAATCTAATCGAATCCAATTCAATCTAATTAATGTAATCTCATCTCATCTAATTTATCTCATCTATCTAATCTATCTAATCTATCCTATCTACCCTATCTACCCTATCTACCCTATCTATCCTATCTGTCTACCTATCTATCCTATCTAGCCTAGCTATTTACCTATCTATCCATCTATCTATCTTAATAAGTAGATAGCTATAGATATACATATCTAGATGACGCTCCTACTACTCCACAGCAAATTTGCAGTCAAGTGGGAAAAACTGTAATCTGCTTTGACCCACAGCTAATTCAAAGAGGAAAATCGGAAACACAACAAGAATTTGTGGGTTTTCACGCGAAACCAGCAAAAAAATACTAAAAAGGGCCAATGTCAAAATTAGTCACTCAACGAAGAAGAAAGTCTTCGGCTTCTCAAATCGGGGATGATGGGAATAAAACCGAAAACAAAACTGCACTGAGCTCGGAAATTCAATGCCCTTCGCAAATACTACCAGCTTCCTTCCATAGCAACCCAAGGGGTTGATCTTCACCCAGTGGCCAGCACAAGACCAGACCCCGCTCCCCTTAAAGCCTTCAAAAAGCCATGTTGGTTTCGAGCGCCAGTCATCAACATCAATGTGGGGGTCGCAAAAGGGGACTTTTCTTGGTTTCGTGCAGCATTGAATGTGCGTTTTTTCGAGTCCGTTAGGTTAGGTCAATATTGTCCTGTAAAAATGAAATTGCGGCCGGTTTGGTATATTGTTTATCTATACTTATCTCATCATCTACCAATAAAGCTTGATTTTCATTTGGGGGGAGATCCTCTATTTTCATTAAAACCAATGGGCTTTTTCGGTCATGGCTTAGCCGATACCCTGCCTCCCTCGGGCTGGAATTCACGAAGCGTTTCATCT